GATTTGAAGATCTTAGCGGGAAAAAGTGCAAAAAAATTATCATTTAGCACATTCATTAAAATTAAAGTAGAAACAGAAATACCTGGTCATGCTCGCACAAGGGCATTGTGAGTGAATAGTTTCGTTTTTAATTTGGTAAATATCACTCAGTTTTGATTTCATAAACTTATGTGCGGAAAAAGTGATATGAAAATTAGTTCTGTGAATTTGTTTTAAAATATCATACACGGTGTTGAATCGATATGTCAATTGCAAAAAAATCTCTCAACAAAGAGTTTGCTCTAAATTAGGAATTGAATTGAAAACAAAATCCAGAGTAGTGCGGATGCGGATTAGAAAGGAATGAACGTCTTCGGCTCTCCGCTATGACAAACTAGAGCATCTTTTTCGAAAGCATTGAACGAACTAAACTTCTAAATCTGATCTTTGAACGTGAAGTTTTGAACGAGTGTTGTTGTTGCCAGACGTATGTGAACTGGCGCCACGTGCGGTTGTCGATGCCTGCGCTGCCAGTACCAAACTTGCATTGTCATCTCAGCAGAGCAGAACCTACTAACATTGGAGACAGAGATATGTAAAAACTGATTTTTTAAAATGTAAATTTATTTGTAAACTGAGTAAAATTTTGACTGTTTACCATTGGCGTTCATAAAATTGTGATGCAATGCATATGCTTAATTTGCATTCAGAAATTGTATGTTTACCCTACAAAAAAAATTTGTTCTCAATTGCCACTATGCTGGGAATCGCGGAGAGTGCCTTTCCTGTAGGTGCGTCTCTGTGATGCAGACCAAGGTAGGGGTTGAATGGGACAGAAAAATCTTTAGTTCAGATAGTTTTGTCATTAGCCCTTTGGCATTCCAGAGAAACACTGACTGAATAGGCATTAGGATGATGACAGCTGGCTAATCAGTGAGGCAAGAAGAGGCTGGAACATTGCGGATAGTGGACTGTCAGAAGCGGATAAGTTTTCTGAGAGGGAGTGTAAACAGCGAACGAAGAGTGATTTGAAAAAATTTGCCAGGAGATCAACAAATGAGAATTTTGTTATGGGTTCTTCTGGTTGATTGGTAGCAGGGGATGCCATGAAGTTTTGTGAGAGTTGAGGCAGCGGCAAAAGATCTGTAGAGTCAGACCAGAGATCACCACTTAGGATACGTTGGTATTCTTCAGACATGTGCGGTGGGGTAGGAGAGCCTGGGTTTTTTCTTTTACGCAAGGGGGCTTCAAAGGAGGGGCCGGGTTGCCCTGGTGTTAGTACAGTACGGATGATGCATAGGAGGCTGGCTGCAGTGAGTTTGCATGGGGCGTTGGGTTTGGAGCTGTTTTCTGCAAGATTTGGTGGAGGTACGACAGTGGTCCCTGGTATATAGCTGGTCTGCATCGTGTTTCTTGAAGAGGGTCGACTAGGTTGGGTTTTTGTTTGCACGTACAGAGCTGCATATTCCTTTGCGGCCATCTCACGGGAGAGAACTCTAGATGCAACACGGGTGGAGATTGCCATTGAGCAGCATGTGGAGATTACATGAAGCGCAGCATGGGTTTTCGGCATTGCAGTTCTGCACGACATCATCAGGGGAGAAGCAGCAGGCGCAAACTGCTAGTCTTCGACAGGAGATGGAACCGTGGCCGTTTCTTTGGCAACTGTAGCAGCGGGGCAGAGTGGCAGGGTAGGAGTGTACTTTAAGTGAAACATAATTGAAGAATACCTTGTCTGGTACTGCCAAGGACTGAGGAGCACTCTATTGCAATGCGCATTGCTTGAAAATTGCTGTTGTTTGGATCTGCAAGTACATGGCTTGGGTATAGCTTTTTAACCGAGAGGATTTTATTTGCAGGGAGAGTAAGCACGACTAGGAGTTCATCTTCGGTGTAGCTCAGAAGGTACTTGTCCTCTATGTCTGAGAAATCAAATATTACTTCCCCTTGGAACATGGGTGGCTCTCTAGGGATACAAATTTTGTATTTAATTCCCTGGTGTTCATAGTGGTGCTCTGAGTTGTTAAACTGGTTTACTTTATTGGCCAGTAGCTACTTCCCCAGTAATTAGGGTGCCCTTCATATTTCGGCCGAGACTATCGGGTTTGATGAACTGTAATGCTGGCCAGCTTTTCAGCTTTTGGAGATTTGGGCATAGAAATTGAATGGCAAGGCTATTTTATCTTCTCGTAGCAGAAGAAAGGTGGTAGATGAGTGACTGACAGGCAGTGTTTCAAACTGGGTGGTGTTGTTTGAGGCAGATTCTGAAAAAGTTGATGAAAGAACAGGTTTGGCGTGGCATTGAAGTCTGGGCTTCTTGATCTTGGCAGATCTTCCTATCACTGGTGAGTCGGACGGGGAGGCCGGCAGGATGGAATTCTAATTTCGAAGGTTCATATATTATTTCGATCCACCAAGACCACTTTTTCTACCCAACATCGTTATTTGAGGCAAAAACTGAACTTCTTAAAGGCTTAAAATACGTACACTACCTTGCTCAGTTTCTATAAAGTACCTAACCACTTTGAAGTTTTATGCTTGCACCTTTCACTCAACAAAATCAGCCGGCTGAGAATGACAGTAAGTTTCCTTTTTCTCTCAGAATATTCCATCATAACTGTTTATATTCAACATGGATTTCCTTACTTTTTGTTTAATTTTGTGTAAAAATTTATATTTTAACGAAATATAACAAATAAATGTATTTGGAAGACTGTTTTTGATGAAAAAATAGAAATTAGGGGAACGACTTGCAAGTCCCGCCAGGAGAACCGGGACCTGATAGTCCCAGTAGGAGTCGCGTGTCGTTTGTATCACTAGGTAGGAATACTACTGAGAATTCCAATTCTTACTGGTCCCATCGATTTCGTATTCATTTTTTTTACACCACGGCACTTTTATGTTGTAACTTATTTTATTTTCAGACTTGAGCACTTCTTCCTGAAACATGGCCAATCGGTCATTGGAAGCAGATGAAATACTTCATCTGTAGGACGAAATTGATGCTGACATTCACGAAGATACCGACATTGACTGATTGAGCCTGAAGATCGAGACCCCACAGAAACCATTCATATCGTGTACAGATTAGATGCGGAAGTCGAAGATGAACCCATTATATCATTGAATTGGATGAACAAGCCGAGATTACACCTACTGATGCAGCTTCTGAGACTCCTGTGGTAGGTGTACATCCACGAAAATGGAGAAAAAAAAAAGAAAAATCAATTGTCCATGAGTTTGTCGCGCATCCCAAACTAAATCATGAATTTGCATGCGCCCTCGATGTTTTATGCATTTTTTTATGAGGATCTTCTTGATATGATTCACTTCCAGACTAATTTGAAAAGTGTACAAAAGGGGAAGCCTGCTTCTGTGACGAAAAATGAAATAAAAGTATTCATTGGAATCAACATTGTGATGGGCTACAATAGAAGAAATCAGCTCTGACATTATTGGTCCTCATCTCAAGATATGAGTGTACCTATCATTCAAGCAGCAATGTCTCGTGACCGTTTCATTGAAATTCTAGGATGTCTGCATATAAACGACAATGCAAAACTGAATGAAAATAAGCACGACGTGTTATTCAAATTGAAGCCGTATCTTGAAAAACTAAATGAACGGTTTTCCACAGTAAATAATCCTCTAGAATTATTGTCTGTGGATGAGTCCATGATCAAATTCAAGGGAAGGAGCTCTCTACAGCAATGCAATGCAATGAAACCCATAAAACGAGGATACATATTATGGTGTCTCGCTGATGACTCTGGATACATACACAAGTTTTTCATTTATTGTGGAAAGTGGCAGCCAGGTGACGAACTGGTCAATAATAACCTTGGCCTTGGTGGAAACATTGTTACATCTCTTGTCGCATCATTGAAGAACCGTTTCCACAAGCTCTATTTCGATTGGTGGCAAAGATTATAATAAACACATGGGGGGTGTTGATAAGCATGACATGCTAAGGCAAATCTATGGCATCAATAGGAAGAGCTTGAAATGGTGGCATGGCATATTCTTCGGACTTCTAGATATGACAATCGTGAACAGCTTCCTCATTCACAAGGAACATTGTCAATCTGCCATTTCCCTCTTGGACTATCGACAAGAAATAGCATGAGAACGCCTGGCATATACAGAACATTCATGCACCCATCATGCCAAGAGGAAAAAAGGAAAATTCTCGACACCAGACTCCGTACAGTTGAGCATCCCTGGAAATCACTGGCCCCTGTTCACGAACATTCGTGGTCATTATGAAGTTTGTTCCCTGGATAAAGTGGAATCACGTCCATTATCCAAATGTTCTCAATGTGGCGTTCATCTTTGTTGCAACGTCCAAAAACTGTTTTGGCGAGTTTCACAAGTAGCTAGGGAAGCGTGCAAATGCACGTGCGATAAAGGAAATATGATGTATTCAGTTATGATTTTATCTCACCTTGTCACATAAGCCAAAGTTATTATTCTACGTAATAACTTATTATTTCATTCAGATTATTTTTTTCTATGTACTTACTGATAATAAATATCTGATTAGCTCTTACACTGTATCAATTGTATCAGCAGAGCAAAAAAAAATCAGCAACTTTTTATGCTGAAAAGCTATTATTTTATTTGTTTTTTTTTTTTGTGTTAATTTTGTAAGTAAAAAATGTTTACTGCAAAACGTGTTTTATTTTACATTATTATTGTTAATAAGTGCATATTGTGCAGATCTTGGAGCATAATACATGGGATCGCGTGTGATGGCTATATGATTATGTCATGTCCCGGGAGCCCTGACGGGACTCTGGAGTCCCGGATCACTATTTTTTATATTAATTAATTTTTTTATATTTTAGTAGCATAGAAACTATAATAAAGATCCATAGAGTATAATTAACACAAAAAATACACATAAAATAACTTCCATCATATAGCCGGGTGGAAAGGGTTAAGCGATAGCACCACAAGTCTTGTCACCATGAACGAACAACCTTAACCCCGCCAGGCGCCACAACAATATTCTGAAAGGTTTGTTTATGATTATGAACGTTGATGTCTTGTTCTAGCTTGTGTTTCGGAGTTATTTGGAAATTTAACGACCATCGAATATAGGCCCCATTGAAGATTTTTTTTACTTATGAACTGGAAAATTTGACAAGTTAATGAGGTTATTCCGTTTAACAGCAGTCATTTTAAAATTTTATAGAAAATAACATTTGTTTGAGATATATTCTCGAAAATATATTTCATATATTGAAATTTTAGTACGTTCGGATTTGCATGGTCTCAAATTAATGAATAAACCAATATAAACTAAGTTAATATCACTCTCATTCAATATCACTCCGATTTTTACGCTTGACATCCATGCGATAACATTTCTCGCTTCGAATCACCGACATGTGGAACAGCCTCCCTGATAGCATCGTTGACGCTCTGAGCATGAATGTCTTCAAGAACAGACTAGACGAAGCTATGCAGGAGCATAGGTTCAGTCTTGAAATGCCTAGCACCTTATGAGCCTTGCAGTAAGTCCTGCAGCTAGGCTATCACAATCAATTCGTAAGTTATGGAAAGATCGGGTTCATAAATCCGGATCACTTGTGGATTGAAATCGCGAAAACTACAAAAATCGGCCATAGGCCATGGGCCTATTTCTTCAGTGCCGAAATTTTTATTCTATTATTGTACGATTTTTTACGAAAATTTTCGCGTTTCTTGCTCCTATTTATACCAATCATTTATAACTGAAAAGATTTTGTAGGCTAGTGATCTCATCAGAAGCAAATTAGTATCATTTTAATAATAGTACTAATAATAAAAATAGCGGTTTCAGCGTTTATTAGGCCATAGGCCTGTCGATCGCCGATTCTTAGCATCGCAGAACATCCACAGCTTGTTGCGGTCTCTAACTGACAACTCACTGATTCAAATTCTGCAGTGCTTAATTAACCGCCGGGCCTCCTTGCCGATTCTGACCAGAAACTGAGCTGGGCAGAGATTAACGAAACTTCGCTAAGTTCACGTAACTTTTCGTACTTACGTTCAAAAAGTTACGTATGGCGTAAGTCAGTCAAAATTTGGCATAAACAAAACTGTCTTACGCATGACTCATCTGAAAAGGTATTATCGAAACCATACAACTAACTGACCAATCGGAGGCTTTGGATTTGCTGTTCCTATAGCTCCTGTAGACTCAGTGCGCAGAGCGCGTGAATGGAAGGAGGTTGTGTCGTGTCAGCGGCATCAGCGTAGACTGACTAGGGTGCATATGGAGAAATAAGTGTGACGTTATCCAAATAGCAATGCACTTGTTGTGATCATTCATCAAAATTTCTTGCAATCAGGGCAAAAAAATTGACACCTCCGAGCAGGCGTACAGTTATGCACAAATTTTTGTACGTAGCTTCCCGCGCAAATGTTTCGATAATAACACTCAGTAGAGTCACGTCTACTTAGCTGTACTTACGCTAAACGTTAGCGGCTACGTATACTTAGCATGTTTTGATAATCCGGCCCCGGATCGAACCCGCGCCTCTCTGCGCTAATCTTGGTACCTACTCTGAATTGTAACCACTGGGCAATCACTGGCATAAGGTTTTGTGAAGCTTTAATTTCAACATTCTATTTGCTAAATGATATGGGGAAAGTATATAGTACTCAATATCTTTCTATGTTTTACTGATATTTTGAGGAAACGAAAACATTAGTGAATTAATGTAAGCCATAGTAGCATTACACCACTAGGGTCATTAGGTTAACGTTGTCCCAAGAAAGTCCGAAAATTCAAGGGGCGTCCGATCCTTCAGCCTCTGCAGACGATCAAGCAGCAAACGGGGGGATCGGTCTATTGCCACAGTCCACCTGATAATAGAAGTTTAGAATTTAACTAAACATATGTCTGAGAAAATCTATAAGTACACGAAATTAGGAAAGTAGTTATATCATAGCATAAGCGATAATTTCAACGATCAACAAAAATATTATGAGGTAAGGTAATGCTTTCGACCAAAGCTTGGTAATCCAGATTGAAATTGTCATGAAGAATCTTAAAACTATTCGTCGAATGGAAGAACGGTATGAATTGAACTTATCTTTTGCTGGGCTGTCTTAATATTAGCATGTTTTTTTTCTTTTCTATTGAGTCGTGCTGTGTTGCTTCTGTATGTGAAAGAAGTAAGACTATATGTGTTTACCAACAAAGCATTCATTTTAATGGGTAGTTGCGGATCCATTATTTGTTATGGAATACAATTGAAAAACTCACATTGTCTGGCCAGTTACATATATGCAGTTTTTCGTCGTAGTAGAGACCTCCATCACAGTGGATAGCGTAGGCAGTGCCGCCAGAGCACTCGCAGAAGCTCGTGCAGTCGTCAGGGTCAGGAAGATTAACGGCAATTTCAGGGTCGGTTGCTGGGCACTGCGCTGACACCTGAAAAAAAATTTATTATTAAAAAAGTATTATTAAATATTAAAAATATTAAAAAATAATAAATATAAATAAATAAAAATATAAATATTAAATATTATTAAAAATGGATTATTAAATATTGACCAAATTTCTTATGACAGGTTGGACCTTACTAAACTGGGCGTTTTATGGCAGGTTGAACCGTACTAAACTAGGGAAATTATATCTAATATTACTACATTATTGCTGCTTTAGAGCTCGTTGTGTAACTCTTCTGGAGGTATACATCGCTCGGCAGTGAAGCAACTCACGAAAATTTGACTAAAAATTACGAAATATTTCAGCTAAAATACTTGTATTAAAGTTGTCTGGTATATAGGAGCTATTATTAAATAGCAGTTTAAGGGTCGAATAACAGTTAATACTGTTACGGATTCGTTAACAGGTTACAAAACATTTAATGAGTTTACACAACACTTTTTTGAATTGCTGATCAATTATTGACAGGCATTCAGCCCAGATGTGCACAAACGAGGTAGCTTTAGCTGATTTTATCATAAACTTATAAGCGAATACGATACAATATCGGTACATGGTTACGGACCATGTACAGTTGGTTCAAGAAACTGTGGCTGACGTAGAATACAACATTTAGTGCATCGACGATTTGATGAACAAGAACATGTATTAGTGCACAAGAATTATAAAAATGTTATAATGCCGATTCATTGCTTCGAATAAAATACCTAATTATTCAAATTTTCAGCTATCTCGATCTGTAGGAGTGGAAGTTGATAAATTTAATTTTTAGAAATTCGTTATATTGACGCTCGTGGCTTCGAAAAAAGAAGCGGATAGCAGATAATTGGAATAATAGAATGATTCATGCTAATATATTTAAGATATGCATTGTTGATGCTGATAATTATCCGCCAATAATTTTATACGGCATATTTATTTCGCAACAACTATAAATAAAAACAGACAAAAGTTCTGTTGCAAAAAAAAAAAAAATAGATTATGTCCTTACCTCAGCCTTGCATTCATTCTCATTGGTCGTTACAATTACAGGCTGGGTAGTGAAATATTCTGTCGATGTCTCCTCAGGAGTAGGCGCTGCTAGAGAGCAGTTCATGGCGGCGCTCACAAGCAGGAAAATTAATATCACTGACATTATTTCGATTCTTGAAATCAATCGAGCGAAATGAAAAGCAATAAATTAAATACTCAGATATAATGTTTTACGTGTTTGTAGTCGAACGCGCAAAGATCTAAAGTTTGTGTTTGCACCAAATATTTGCTTGATTGGCCTTTTTTGACAGCCACTCGTATGAATATTTGCCTGACTGAACCCTTCTCAATAATAATCTCTTGTTTTTATAAGAAATCTCTGCCTTGATATCGGACAATACTGGTGTGGTTCTCCCAGCATCGTGTGAGTGCACAGGTGACTTCATGTAACTTCATGATATGTTACCGAGAAATTCATGGCCATGAGCTGATCACATGCATGAGACTCTGAGATAATGTAATAATCTTGAAACATTTGAATAGTGTAATAATTAAAACTTACACGAGTTGAGATAAAGCCCATTAAATTAAGCAAATTCTGAGTAACAAAGAAGGAAGCCGGTGAGAATTGGGTCGAGAACCAACCATGTAAATGTAGCAATAATCATTAGACTATAATCATTATATACAAGGATTGACATCTGAGCGTACATAGTGCGATAATTTTTTGAAGTCACTGCACAGCATGCATTCTCAATTTCCAATCCAAGGCTATCAGAAAATAACAAAAATCATTATTGTTTGATAAAATTGTTATGACCGATAACTCAATTTGCGGTCGCAAAGATAACTGATACGTATTTAGATTCAGGGTTGTCTTGTTATCTGAACTGGCATGATTTTTCATCAGCCCACTGTGCACATCACTTATACGATTAAACATTTACTTTACTTAAATGCATGGCAAAGTTTCAGGTCATGTCTTCAACAAACTCGTGAACAAACGTGAATTTGATCAAGTTCACTCAAAGGATTATTTTACTGCATGAATAACTTTATTTACTACATAAATAACCTCATTTTCAACATAAATAACTTTATTTACATCATAAATAACATTATTTAGTACATAAATAAGTGCTATACCATCATAGTAAACTCTCAAATATGGCCATTTACAAGCATTTATTTTTGTAGACATGACAGAGTGTAAGGCATTGAAGGAAGTCAACTGTTACCCGCACTCAGAGAAAAAAAGGAAACTTTGTCCATATAGCAATGCACTTTCTGCCCTTGAGCACATCATGACCCCGTTTTGCCGGGAAAAGATCATATTGAGGCTACGTGCAGAAAGTGTCACAATTTGACAATATGATACATTCACGCTTGGCGTGGTGACTTCCCTCACATTATCATTTAGTTATGACATTTAAATTAAATATTTGATTAAAATTTTTTACATCACTAAACTGTGTACATAGCCGGGCCTAAATGAAGCAATGAAACTTACTCGACGTTATAAAAAAATCGGTTAAAATTTTCTGATACTATATCGTCAGGAAATTTACCGTAAGACTGAGCAAAGTTTCCGTAGAAAATTTGTCACTAAAGAGATTATTGAAAACGTTAATGTTTTAGAAAAAAATGTGTTGATTAATTGAAACCAACATGGACGATATTAACCCTCACTAGCACGTGAGGTTATGCCGCGAACTGAACAGCTTGACGTCTTATTAAAAATTATCCAAAACCTATCAACTAATATTTATTTACATGAGGTAATAAAATTTGCCCGATAGTTTGATTATTGCCATTACAAATGCATTTTTAATGCATTACATTTTAACGTAAATGGTAGATGGGAAAAGCGTGGAAAAGACTCACCTTAGCGGAAATAAATGACTTTTAATATAGTAAAAGACTTACCAAGTTTAAATTGGTTTCTGGAATTAATTTGAAAAATTTAATTCAAATCTATTTTATTATTGTAGAATCTCCCCTCTGTTGGATATGTTCCCTCACTTCCCCTTCCCTGGGCTCAGTTGCCCTCGTGCTCTCGTACGTGTCGGACGTAGCGGTGCCATAGCTCCTGATCTGACGTTACCTGATGAAATTAATAACAAATAGCTCATATTAAATATTATTTGAGTTTCAACATTTTTGACCAGTTGATTTCTATCTTCTATTTACATGAAAAACAAAAAGATTTGAAAATTAGTTTGCTGTTAATATATTATATTTTTAATGAGTAAGCTGAAGAGATTATATACCGGTTTTGCAGCGCTGAATATTTACGACGGTTTAGCGTCAGCTGGTTGTTGTACAATGAATAAATCTGCGAAAAGACTGGTAAACTTCTCTGTTCTATTTATTAAAACTTCAGCTACAAAATAAAAACGTTTTAGTAATTAATTAATTAAGCATTGTAATTGGTAATTAAGCTACATACGCAAAAAAAAAATAATAAATCAGTAACGTAGCAGCAAATTAAACAATTCACGTCGCCAAAAAAAATCAGCAACGTAACTAACAATAAATCTTATTAGTTCAGAAACTAATTACATGTTGCCCTGCGTACACGTTGTGTCCTGCGTTGCTGCCGGGGTGCGCGTTGTGCCCTGCGTTGGTGACGGGGTGCGCGTTGTGTCCTGCGTTGCTGACGGGGTGCGCGTTGTGTCCTGCGTTGCTGACGGGGTGCGCGTTGTGTCCTGCGTTGCTGACGGGGTGCGCGTTGTGTCCTGCGTTGTGACATGGTGCGCGTTGTGTCCTGCGTTGTTGACGGGGGTGCGCGTTGTGTCCTGCGTTGCTGACGGGGTGCGCGGCGTTTGGCAGCTATCGCTATACCAATTATTGCCAAATAAAAACGTTATGCTTGAAATTTGAACGGCAATAGAGAACATATTGCATGTCATGTGCTGTGTTCAAGTCGTAGAATCAAACGTTCACTATTGTATAGATAACAGTAAGTCAGTGCGTTATATTATACAAAAACAATAGGTCGTTGCGATGCATTATAGTCTTATTATTGTTGTATGTGTTGGTATTTAAATAATAACAATATGGCAGTGTTTTGTAGAGAGCGAAAAATAGGGCTTCAGTGTTTTTTGTGTATAATAACAAGCCGTCAGTACCATGACATGTAAAAATAGCTAGTCGTATCATTTATTTGAGTACAGCAGTACAAACAGATGCTTATTTATAAAACAATAAATAGGTCATGGGCCCATTTAAAATAAATTTCTGGAATTTTTTCTCCAAGGAATGAAACTCCGCTTCACTGGAAGAATACGTCTTTGATCTGACGTTAGTCACACATTTTTCCCTGTTCCAAGTTCAATATTTATTGTCTCAAGCACATATAGCGCTGTCCAGACGCCATTCAGTGCCAGATTGTTGATCCGTCAAACCCATTGAGCGCGAGATGGTCTTTAAAGTTTAACCATTTAAATGTTGAATTAATTAATTTGTCGCATTAAGTGCCGAACTGTTTTTGGAGCCATGTCATTAATGGTTAAATGGTTATTGCAAGCTAAACATTAAGTATACGATGGTTGGCGCGACTAAGCCCATTTATAGCTGCTCGTACAGCAGCACACACGCGTGGCAGTCGGCCAACAGCGAACGCCGCTCAGCAAGCGTTGCAAGCTCAGTAAACTATACGGGGAGAAATGCTACGTGTAAAATAGGATAAACTAAGCTGAGTAGCTAAATATTGCGTATGAAACAAGAGGATGAGAATGTAAACTGCTTGATAAAATGCTACATTTAAAATTTTACTTATAAAATAGGAGGCTGTAAGCTGCTTAACGAAAATGCTACTCATAAAATAGGAAATACTATGCTAAATAGCAAAATATTACGTAAAAAATAGGAGGATGTAAGCTGGGTAGCAAATTTCTGCGAACAAAAATGTTCCACGCAACCAGCGGAATGAAATTTTCGAGTACAAGAAAAAGGTGGGCAGCAAAATGTTGAGTGAAAAAACGTGACTTTTGAGAAAGATTATTAGGACATAAAAGAGAATTTTTAGATAATCTGCAAAGGGCTTATTTTATGAAAAAATGAACAGAATTGGCCAAATATACGCGCAAAATCAGAGGACGCAATTGAGCTTGTTTGAAAAAAAAAACATTTAAAGTTGAATAAGGAAACGCAAAATGACTTGAAACTAATTAATCTATGCGAAATAAGAGAACAATTTTCGAGTTATAAAATATTCTTTACAAAACAATAGGATTTCGTGGTTTATAAATATAATCTAATCAGGGTAAAAAGAAGTAAGAAAACCCGCAAAATATTTTGTTCAAAATACACAAAACGCCTGATGGCCTGCAAAATATCCTATGCAAATAAAATAATGTAATATAGCCTAGAAATTATCCTATGCAAATAAAAAGGCATAAGCCGGCCTGGAAAATATTCTATACAAATAAAATAACGCAAGATGGCCCGCAAAATATTCTATGCAAAACCATAATACTGGCGCTGGTCAGCGGAATACCGCGGGAAAAGTTAGGGCTGAGCCAGAGAAGATCTGCCTCGGGCTGCGGTGTGAGAGAACATTTATATAACGGAAAGCCGTGCATATAGAGTGAGCCATCACGCTGCATCAGTGTGATGACTGTATGCTATATGTATATAGTGCGAGCAAGCTGCATCAGCGTGATGAATGCATAGTATAGCTACATGAGCGTATTATAAAAAAGTTTTCATCATGGAAAATATTTAGTTTAAATGGGAGGAGGTATTGAAAAATGGACTTGCATTCCAGGCGTCCTGGCCAATTATTGTGGAGAAAATTGCAATAAGATTGGGATCTTATAGACGTGCTGATATGGTAGAATTAAATTTCTTTACTGTTCAATATTTCGTTCAAGTGACTCAATTTTTATTTTATAAAATTTACTGTACGAATAAATACTACTTTAGTGTTTAGTCTAACTTTTAGTTTCCAATCAATTCAAATAACAAATACGGAAACTTCTCGTCAACTTAAACTATTGATTAGTTTTTTTGAATAAGCTTTTGCAGGAAAATAGCCTCTGGAAACTGGAAATTTTTCATCCAGCACGATTTTTTTTGTGACAAGATTTTATTTTTTAGCTCCTGCCTAGCCGGATTGTCGGCTCCGGGGAGACCAGCCGTCTGGTCACGCCGATATGGCTGCGCTCGCCTGTCAAAAATTCATGGACATTTTTCGTATATTTGGATGCCGTGGATATTTGAGGCCGTGAGATATTCATCTCTGTAATAAATGTGTATAACAACTTGGCAAATCGCCGGTGAATGAAGAATAAGACTTTTATCTTGCCATGAGAAACAGGTAAAAGGTATTTTTTAGGCATTCTTCTGGAGGTAATTCGGTCGTTTTCGTCTTTAAAAGCCTTGCTCGTATTTTGCTGATGTTCATTCAGATTTGGACAAATTCACGTAATAAATAACAGGCTAAAGTTTTTTACCTCAGCTTAAGATAGATACTTTTAGACTTGTCCTATTGTAAAAACTAGCGAACTGACTTTGGTGTCACGCAACTGTGGCCAGTCACAGTTGCGTTTTTTCACTCAGACACACCCTTAATACTCAACTCATGCCTTGTGCAATAATTATGTTAATATGTGCGTTGCCGTGTATTGTTCTATCGATTTGATACCTCAATATATGTTTCTCCTGCATAAACCCTTTGCAAGTTCTGCAGCGCGTATCAATTATTTGAACGAAGCAAGGCTATCTGCTCATAATAAGTTTTCTACATGACCAATAACATCAAGTGGGACTTATATAAAAAAGCTCTTTAATTTGTTAATAAGTTCTATCTATTAAGAAATAATATGAAACGAATCGAACTACTGCGTTTAGATCACATAATTAATATAAAATGTAGCAATTTATCATATTACATCACGATTCTGTTGCAAGTTGATTCTTTAATGTCACACGCATAGAAATAAGGAGTCTTTGTCCGAATAGCGAGCCTCTCTATCTCCTGAAAGGGTCATCCTGAACCCTTTTTGTCTGGCATAAATTACGCATCAATGCTGCATGCAGAAGGTGTGTCACGAATTGGACAATCTGACCCGATCACTTCTCTGAGGGCATCGTCGCTATAATTACATGGGAGCGCATGCCAGCTTTGCTGCAGCCTTTCAATGTGAGCACGAAGAAGGGAAACTAATGCTATATAATATGTGGTGTGGTGCTAATGATGTCGTGTTGTGTTAATGATGGCGTGTGGTGTTAATGATGTCGTGTGGTGCTAATGATGTCGTGTGGTGTTAATGATGTCGTGGTTTGAGTGGTGCAACAGATCCTGCATGCAAGTATCGTCAATACAGATGTGAACACCAGAGTCTACACTCAGAGAAATTAATGGATAAATCATATCATATCATCGTGATGTCGGCGCAGAAAAATAGGCCTGATTTGGCCTTTCGCCTATTCATTTACTTTTCGTGACTTGTTCACAGATCTAAAAACTGGTATTTTCACCAGATCTCTTCCACTGACGGTGGTTTAAAATCGTTACTGGACTTTCACATGTTTCGTAGTGTACTAGTTATTTCAAGTCTGAACATTTACCTATTTTTCCATAGCTTCGTCTAGTCTGTTCTTGAAGGCGTTCATACTTGGAGCGCCAACGATGCTATCAGGGAGGCTGTTCCACATGTCGGACGCACTCCAACAAAAGAAAAAAAAACATCCTTTCGTCCCCGCATTATTCAGCCAAGTGTTCGTATAGGTCCATCCATTGGCCACAGTGAGAATAAGGTTTAATAATAATCTTTATTGACAAGTATGAACACCAAGAACTAATGACTCGAATGGAACTGTTACTGAGACTATTACTGAGATGGTTTCTTGATATAATAATAATAATAATAATAATTATAATAATATTAATAATAAAATAATAATAATAATAATAATAATAATAATAATAATAATAATAATAATAATAATAATAAATTAATAATAGAAATAAAAATAATAATAATGAAGTTGTCCTAATAGTGACACACATGTTGCACGTATAGCACTGATACGCTCTTTACTGAACACATCTACGCTCTCGAACTGAATGACTCACATCGAGCAAGAAGTGCATCGCTATTTGGACATCACACTCATTTTCGTTAATGCTAGAGAAGAGAGATTAGAAATCTTGAAAGGATTACAAAAGTTTCCTTGAAATTCAGTTTGATTTCAGTTTTCTTTGGCAACTCATTGTGTTTATATGCTTGACTTTGCTGATAAAGCGAAACATCCTAATCTCCTAGTTAGGATACATTGAAATAAGCATTTCTCAAATCATGTTTGAAATTTTCACCCGCGAACGATGAAAAGTACAACATATGATGTATCACGTAATTTAAGATGCGCTTTTTCAAATTCATTATTATATCTCATATAAAAATCAATGGAAGTTCTAATTATATAAATTATCTTATAAATATTAATTCTAGAAGTTGCAGACTTACTATAAACGCAGGCTACTACTATACTATTTCTCATTTTAACATCATTGACGTCAAAATTAATGAGATTCTTGGTACATGATAAGTTGCTCAAGATGGCGGCCATGGACACGTTGATACAGGCTACAGGTGTACGTGTCTTATCATCATATATCTACACTTGCAAGCTCTTGTCACGAGCCTTGGAATAGATCAAAGGTATCACACAGAGAAATGAGTGAGACTGTGTCCAAATAACCATGAACTTCTTGTTCCTGTCTGGGTCATCCTGACTCAATTGGCTCCGTCAGCTTTCTACTGGTGCTGTGGATGAGGAGGCGGCACTTTTTGGTCAATACGATACATCAATTTTTCTGAGTTATATGTACACATCACATTATTTTTTAAAGAACATTTATAACGTTCCGGAACAGTAAACGATAAGTTCCGAACGGGAGTAAACGATAGCTTTATGTAAGTTGTTTATTGTTATTATTATTATTTTATTATTATTATTGTTATTATTTTTATTATTATTATTGTTATTATTATTATTATTGTTGCACAAATTATTAATGCCTACATTCTGCTTGCGTCATTTCAAAAATCGATCATAACAAAGCAAAATAAGTCTCAAAACAGATAAAATTAATATAATTTTACTAAATTTTAATGCATAACCGAGAATTTTTGTGATTAATTTGGCAAAAGGTAATTATATATTATTGATGTTATATATATAATATTATTATCGATTTAGGTCTGAAAATTCCCGTGATGAAGCCAGTCTCAGTAAATTAGTTAATTTTTATGATTAACTAATAGCGGTATAAATAACTAATAGCGGAATGAATAAGATTATTTCAGTGATAAAAAAATAAATTACAGATACTGATGAATATTAATACTCAAACTTGATAAAATAACACATAAGTGTTAAATGACGCGACGATATTAAAGATAAGCAAGGGTTAAAAAAAGATAATTTTTGATATATATAAATCGAGTAGAGAAAAACGTAAGTGTTAGTTGGTACACTAGAGTACAGTGTTAGCTGGTACACTAGTGTACAGTGTTAGCTGGTACACTAGTGTACAGTGTTAGCTGGTACACTAGTGTACCTGTCTCTTATACACATCTAGATGTGTATAAGAGACAGCATAAGTTGCATAGACATAAGTTGCATAGACATAAGTTGCATAGACACATACGTTGCATTAACATAAATTGCATAGACATAAATTGCATTAACATAAATTGCATGGTCATAAATTGCATGGACATAAAGTTGCATAGACATAAGTTGCATAGACATAAGTTGCATAGACATAAGTTGCATAGACATACGTTGCATTGACATAAATTGCATAGACATAAATTGCATGAACATAAATTGCATGGTCATAAATTGCATGGACATAAATTGCATGGACACAAATTACGCAGACATACATTGCATAGACATAAATCCATTAATGTTTGCTTCATTTAAGTGCACAGCATTATCCGTGATCCGGGAGCTGCCGAAGAATAAGTTCACAAACTATTGCACACACTGAATCATTTGATTATTATGAGGCTAGAAAATAAAATCCTCCATAATTCTTTATTCAGATAAATCTATTTCTGAAAACAACTAAGTTTCTGGTCGGCATGGAATCTTCAACAATAATTGTACAGCATAAGTAAACTCACTGCGGTCATGGTGTTCGAGAACTGGTTAGCATTAGCTCTTGAAAAAAATTAACTTATTATTTTACTCATAATCGAAAATCTTGCTAGCAACTAAATACACAAAAAACGTCTGAAAGCAAGCTATATGTCGAGACAAACGACTACCGCCATTACTATCTTAAGCGAGATCTACTTTAAAGTCTTCAGAATAAATGTCACCTCCTTAAACTTCCAGGAACTTTACATGACGCGTCCCCACAAGTCTGCAGAACTCGTGCACGTTTTCGTAGCTCCAGTCCGAGTATTTTTATAACGGCGTTTGGAAGCTTAAATTACTCAGTAATTCAGGTGGATTTGCAACTCCTGAATTTGACGTCATTCGACTGAGCAAGGAATCGGCTCGTCACTGGTTTTTAATTTTGCATTAACGAAATTTAGCTACATCAATGAAATGATTAAAATTAATGGAAGATAATTACATCGTTAGTGCTGCTTATCGTGTTCCTTTTTATCGGGTGACTAATTAAAAAAATTCTGAATGAAATAATTCCATCAATCATCATATATAAGACTCCAATTTCTATATCATTAATAAATAAATTAGAGGGCAAATTTAACTAAGCCTGATATCCGGTATATGCTTGTCAGTTCACACTGCCTATACATTTCACTGCCTATATCACACTGCCTATATCTTTTCTTAGGAAAAATTGAAACTGAACTATTCGCCTGCATTAACAAAAAGTTCATGATCGCCCCATTTAGTTCAATTTTGTAACATTTTTATGTATCCGGTCATGCGTAGTCTAGCGGTTTCATGCGCAATGTTTATATATGTACACATATAGTACAAGAACACTGCGTTTATGTTTTTGAGATATGTACGAATCATATGTATAAATAAAGTTTTTGTATGTGTGTGAATAATATAAATAAATAACACGTTTTGCGTATGTGTTTTGCAGGAGGCCTCTTCGACCGCGGCGACCTGCGCCAGGAGGTGGCGTTCCAGTACGCCGTGGACCGCGTCAACAGCGTCAAGTCCTCCTTCAGGAGGTCACGGTCACGTCTGCAGCCTGTCATAGAGCACATACCTCCGTACGACAGCTTCCATGCCTCCAAGCGAGGTATGTCATAGAGCACATACCTCCGTACGACAGCTTCCATGCCTCAGTACAGTGTTAGCTGGTACACTAGAGTACAGTGTTAGCTGGTACACTAGTGTACAGTGTTAGCTGGTGCACTAGAGTACAGTGTTGGCTGGTGCACTAGAGTACAGTGTTAGCTGGTGCACTACAGTACAACTGCACACTAGAGTACAACTGTCTAATTTATTATAGATAATTTGTGAACTTGTTGATGTGGCGAGCCCGAGTGTAGGATAACCCAAGTCACGGGGTGGAACAAGAAAGTTAGAGGCAAAAAATATTGTATGAATTAGGGATAAAAAAGTTTTAAGACGAGCGGGACGAAAAAAAGTTGTTGTGGTGCTAATGAAGGCAAGAAAGAAAGCAAGAAAGTAGTAAGAAGTGAGGGCAAAAAAGTTGTAGGAAGTGCCAAAATAATTTGTAGGAAGTGCAGGTCCAAAAGTGTTGCTGGATATTGGACAAAAAAGTTGTGTAAGAAGTGTAGGATCGGCGAGCCATGTTGCCGAGCGAGCTAGCGCGTGTGGCGGCCGCGGTGCTGCTGCCGCTGTGGCTGCTGCTCATCACACAGCCACTCGCCACACAAACCCTGCCAGACATCATACGAATTGGTGAGTAAATTGGGTAAATTGTCTGTCAGTTATCGAGGATATTTAGGAATATAGTATTTATAATAGATCAATTATTTTATATTATAGTACTTTTAAATTATTGCAGTTAAAAATATAATTGTGAATTGCTAGGATTATATAGGTTTTTTTGAATGGTCGATTGGATGTGAGTTTGGTCCTTGTAGGCTTGATCTGGGGAACGGAGAGTGAATTCTTGCATACGGTGATGAAAAATATGACTCTAAGTACAGAAAATTGTTAATAATATAAGTTCGTTGAGATTCGATGAAACGGATCTAAAAAATGTAAATAGCTTTAATATTACGATAGTTCTCTGTAGGATGGACATTTGACGGAACCGGACATACAAACGCCACGATAAAAGGAAGATTTTCCAAAGTTTTTGGATTCAAATGTAAATATTACCGGTAAATTTGAATTTTCACATCACCGAAAACCGTGGCTTGCAACTTTCTAATCCTCAACGCGATCATTGATTTGTCCCAACGTTAAGAGCGACTGCAAAATATTTGCTTATAAATACTTAACCAGGCGCACTTTTGAGCATTTTTTCTTGTAATTATGTTTTGCATTGAATTTTCATATTAAAGAGATCCTCTCTAAATGCATTTACTGACAAGCGAGGCCGAGCGCAGATTGAGGGTACTTTAAAAAACTTTTTCGTTTGGCGATTGAAGTAACGTCCTACTGCAGATATATATTACAACAACATACAATTATCGCTGCCTAGGTAATGTAAATTAGATTGAATCGTCTCCCACTAAAAATTAGATCAAATTTTTGAAGCCCGCTGCGAAGCATTCGTTCTGACCGCGACAGCAAACAGACAACCCCTGATTAAAATCAACGCTTCATTAGCGTCGTAATGCCATCGGCCGTTCAAACGACACCGATAAACCCAATATTTTTAGCACGGATGTTGGGATCAAACAGGCCCATTTTAATGTTTGCTCGTACCACAAGTCGGGGCACCGTTCCCTCTCAACATCGAGAGCGTCCCGGACATTTTTTCCTGGGCAAATTGCAACTGAGGAGAACACATGAGTCGGTCAGGCGTAACTCTGACGCAGATTATACGATGCAAATTAAAGGCTTTACAGGGCTTGCAGACGTCGCCATTACGCTGCATTTTAGGCCCAGTTTCGCTGAACTCGACGATATTCTAGACACTGAATTCGGCATCAAAATAGCCAAGGAAATGACGATAAATTTGGCATCAGTGACGATCTGTACAGATGGTAATTATAAACGAATGTGAGACAAGAGTTTTTTATTTACTTTTTTTTTTGTTTTTAAATGAAAGCAATCAATATGGGGTATATGTACATAAAGTATATAAATATATTCGGTTATTAGTATCAGTTGGCAAAATTTGTTCCTTTAAGCAGGTTTCATTGAAGACCAGAGAATTCGTTTTATTGACAATTTTCTTATTACTTTTTTTTCAATTGATCGAACAATATTTTTCGTTTGCACTGGTAAATCGTAAAATCAGAGTACCGATGGACATTTTTATTTTTTTAGTAATGTTTCATATGTATTAATCATTCATTATCAAGTCACAAGACGCATTGAGTAATGGAATTTGGAATGGAACATAAGTATAAAATCATGTATATAAGATACTATTCAAAAATCAAAAATGTTAGAAATAATTACAAAATCACAAAAATATGCAGATCATCAAGAAATAAAACAGTACAAACATGAACCCAAATATATTTGGGTGCATGTTCATGATTTACTCAAGCTAGTAGTTTGCTGCTGCCTCTCCCGTCTTTATTTTAGGTTTACGTAGTAAACCTTCTTCAGTCTACGGAGATACCATACTAACTTTCATTGCTTCAACCTCCATAACTTTGCAAAATAGGTAAAAAAAATATTTTTTTTCAGCCATAAATTTCGTGAGCTGCTTAAATTTATGAAGAATGTGCAATCTATTTGTTAAAAATTCGAAATAAAACATGTGTGTTCCACTGCAATATGTGTGTCCCTTTACAAAGATGGCTATTTTATTGCTTTGACTGAATTAATATACATCAAGTTTTCGTGGAAATATTTAGGCCTTCCCATCCCAGTTGCTGCTAATGAGTCATCGAAGTCTCAGTTTTGTTAAAAGTCAAAGCCATTAAATTTGCAAATCCTTCGAATTTTTTGAAATTCCAAAAGTTCTAAAATACAAGACTGATGCAAACACAAACCTTTTAAGGAGTTCAAATATTGCTATGCCAACATTATACTTTGATGCAGGCAATAAAATTTCAAGATACTGTGTTGTCAACAGTCTACGCGAGTGCAAGCATTCAACTTCTTCGAGATTGCAGTGGTACTAAAAGTTTACAGTTGTGCAAAAAACTTTGTTTAAAGTTTCTGCGATGTTAAAAGTCTTCACTGATCCAAGCATCAACTTTATATTTTATTTAAATCGGCTCGGATGTAAGCGTGAATTTTTATTACGACTGGACTTTTATTAAATTTATCAGCACAAAACCTAATTCCCTGCGCCGTTTTCTGCACACGTGTAAAGGAAGCGCGCAACGCAGCGGCAACAAAGGCCGCGCGAGGCGCAGTCTGTTGTCGGCCTCAGCCAACTCCTGTAATTTGCTGCCCAGCGGCCCATCCATCACCCTGACCAACACCGACCCAGCACTCTGTCTTGCGACCAGATCTGGCCCAGCGCACTCTGTCTTGCGCCCAGAAGGCGGGATGAGCAGGAGACGGGATGAGCAGGAGGCGGGATGAGCAGGAGACGGGATGAGCAGGAGGCGGGATGAGCAGGAGACGGGATGAGCAGGAGGCGGGATGAGCAGGAGGCGGGATGAGCAGGAGGCGGGATGAGCAGGAGACGGGATGAGCAGGAGGCGGGATGAGCAGGAGGCGGGGTGAGGCAGGCAGTTGGGTTCATCTCAGGTCGATGGCGGGCACGATGGATGAGGCAGCAATGACCGGTCTTGCGTTCACCTTTAAAAATGGGATTTTGCATTCACGGATTAACTAAAATATTCTGGCTTCAGAATTATTTATTTGTACTGAGCTTTCAGGACTTCACGAGCCAGACATAAACTGAAAGTAATTTGCAACTTATGACTTCTCAGTATTTGTTCAAAATACAAATGAGCGTAGCAACGTTACCTGTTAATCGATCAGTTAATCGATATATACTTTGATTGGCCATTGATATTACTCAATTGATCTGGTAGATTTATTCATTCAGTTCATAATAAGTTATATTGTGAATAGATATTGTTAGATATTGCATCCGCATTTGGAATGCATTTGAAAGAACATCTATGGTGCCGGTGGCTGAACGCCACATCGTTGGAATAGTTCATGGGGATTTAATATAATATTATTGTATATATATATATATATCTTACATCCTTTACAAACAACAACTTTCATATTCCAACCAATTCATTTCCAACTCATAGACACTGTAATGACGCATTAAAAATGAAATAACATTCTGCCCAGTAATTTGGTCAATGATGCCCCGATAATGATTAATTAGTTTATAGTTATAAATGAATGATCTGTATTAAGCTGAACATATTTTTCAAAGTTTACAGTACATCAGTAAACAATAATATTCGTTACAAAGCGTCGGAATCAAAAGTTTCCTTCTGACTGAATTTACTGTAGCTTATCTCATTATACAGCTATAATAATAATACAGCTACAAAACATCAAAACACACAGCGCTCTCCACGCATCAAAATATTCGCGCTGCATATCACAAAGTTTTCTGAGTTTAATTTGTAGACGAATCACCTGAATACGTTTAATGAGAATAAAAAAGTTAATGTTAGCCATGTTTGCGTTCAAAGAACGCATACGTCGGTCGTCGCGTCACCGGCTGACGCGACGCAGAAAAATTGTGACACTTCCAACAGAAGCGAGTAAACAGCGGCGGTTTTTTTAAGCGCCGACGCAGGCATTTCTGTGCCATCACTTACACTTTATCTTGAACCAAGTTAACTGAAGCCTGCAAATGACAATGCTTTACTCCCACTCACAGTCAAAACTATTATTCGTATAAGCGATTAATTATGTGAAGCCGCGCCAAGACGAGTTCTGTGCCATTTGCTCGCGTATCTCTAATGGTTCGTTGGGAAGAACATGCAAGAAAACTAGATATTTCAGGGAGCATGCAGCACTTTCACGAGCAGAGCAAACGCGTGGCACGGTATACGGGCAAACTAATACATATTCTCTCAGGAAAATTGCTGGTTCAAGGAGTTTAAATAGTGCCACACTTTCCTGACTACAGCACGAGCAGAGAGCGGACGTAGCTCTGATCCTCTCTATAGACGGGCCAAACTGTGTCAGGATGACCCGAACACGTGTAAAAAGTGCATCGTTGTTTGGACAAAGTTTAACTAATTTCTCTGCGTGAAGATTCTGTGAAGCGTTGCGGTTGCCAAGAAGTGTCGCGAGGGCACCGAGGCAGCAGCTGCTTGGCTATCATTTGTTCAGGCATTATAATGGGAGCTTTTGTTTCGCAAGACAAAGGTGTGCTGGCTATTCATTTGACTAGGAGTCACAGAGAAATTTTTATTCATTAATAGAGCTGTTCTGCCTGATAAGTTTATGCTAGGGCGCCTGATGAACGCTGAACAGCTGTCGCCTCTGCCGTGCCATTATGAACAACCATGTACCGGTTAAGCATTAAATGCGGTTTATACTCTGTACAGTTTTTAAAACAATTCTTGCCTATTGTTTATAAAGCATTCTGTAACGCTTAATTATAAATTATAATTCCACAATATATCTACTATTCATGCATTACTATGAACTATTTTTAGCTCAGTTTCTCATTTATGGAAAAAGGCGCTATTGTGCACGTCATGTCCGTCCGTCCGTGACTTCACCTCACGGGGACGAAAAAATGCGCTCTCTGTAACTCACTGCAATGAGTACTGATCTAATTTTTTAAGCATTATGTACCGCTTGATTATAAATTGCAATTGTAATTCATGAATCAATATAAAGTGTTAATCCATTTATATAGCTTCATATACGATGCACAGGGCATGAAATACCGTTTATATAGCAATATATAGAGCTTATTGTTTATTAAATAATATGTACCGTTGATGCTGCACTGCCGTTAATAATGAACTAGATATGGTTCATCTACTAGGCAAATTATATAATTCTTCAAACAACCAATACAATAAATAATGGCTGTAATGAAGCTATACGTTATTATAAGTTAGCTATAATTGAACTATACGTTATTATACGTTAGCTATAATGAAGCTAACTTAAGTATTCGAATCTATTGTAGGTGAAACTATTCTTGGATATAATACTAAATATTTTTAATTTTTAACTGTACCACAGTTTGTACCGTATTCTGTTTCCTAGTCTCTACCCTAGTCTGTATCCTATTCTGTATCCTAATCTTTATCCTAGTCTTTATCCTAGTCTTTATCCGAGTCTGCATACCATTATTTCTAAGAAAAGACAACAATACGCAAGATGAACAATTTATATTGCATTGTAAGAACCGAAAATTCACCTCTGACTAACCATGATAGGTTACTGAAAAAATCATGTTGTGGATCGTTGGTCTAACATTCGAGCAAAGAGAACTAAATTAATTTTCATTATTGTTTAATATTAATAAAAATAATTATATTATTAATATTACTAAATTATTTATTATCATTATAATAACGAATTTTTAATTATTTATTATAGTTGAACCCCTCCTAATATTTCAAAAGACGAATTGATATCTTTTTTCTTAGTTTACTTGCAAAAAAGTCTACGGACAAAACATTAGAGATTTCACTATCTAATACCGAGGATTCTAAAAATGAATGACGTCATTCTGTGACGGGAGGAAGCTAATGAAGTAGAAACCTGATTTTTTAAATAATAAATATATATAAATATTATTAGAATATATTACTATTAAATTGTCGTTACATTGCATTATAATTAAATTTTCATTAGATTATATCTTATATTATATAAAAATACAAGCATGATAATAAATAAAAAATATATTTTTTATTTTCAGAGGATCGTAGTATGCAGTGCAGAAAACTAAATAAAATTAAAGAATTTGATCCGAAGCACAGATCTGGAAATTTCAACTTGTCTCTGTCATCTGCAGCGGGAGATTTTATCTCGGCGTCTCTTGTTTTAAAGAGACCCAAGCACAGGCGCTTATATTGGAATGCCGAGGGACAAGCCTGGAATGAGGGGAGACATTCCTGGCTGGAATGAGGGTAGACATTCCTGGCTGGAATGAGGGTAGACATTCCTGGCTGGAATGAGGGGAGGCATTCCTGGCTGGAATGAGGGTAGGCATTCCTGGCTGGAATGAGGGTAGACATTCCTGGCTGGAATGAGGGTAGACATTCCTGGCTGTTCGATCCTCATCGCACGCAGGCCTTTCTTCGCCCTTATAATTGTAGTAAGTTTCAACTGTGATGTTGATAACCACGAGACAACAAAAACAATCGAACTTGTCGGTCGTTTTTTATTCAAACATGCATTCATCTCGTTAGTTTCATACTATCTAGAAGGTAAAGCTGAGAAAATTTCTTATTGAAAGTATTCTGGCATAGAGTAAAGAAATGTTTGTAAACGTTATTGAACTTTTCTGTTCATTTTGAATGATTGTGAGACTTACGAGGACGAATAGAGTTTGTAATACACTCATGACTCGTAAGTATTTATCTCATTAGTCAATTCTTGCAATATATTGGAATATTATTCTGCGCATTATCTATTCCTAATATTATATGCATTTAAGGATAATGATAACAGCTGGTAGCAATCACATTAATTTGAGTATCGTGAATTGCATAGACATTAGTTGTAAAGACATAAATTGCATAAACATAAGTTGCATAGACATAAGTTGCATAGACATAAGTTGTAAAAACATAAATTGCAAAGACATAAGTTGCATAGACATAAGTTGCATAAACATAAGTTGCATAGACATCAGTTGCATAGACATAAGTTGTAAAGACATAAATTGCATAAACATAAGTTGCATAGACATAAGTTGTAAAGACATAAATTGCAAAGACATAAGTTGCATAGACATAAGTTGCATAGACATAAGTTGCATAGACATCAGTTGCATAGACATAAGTTGCATAGACATAAGTTGCATAGACATAAGTTTGTCTCTTATACACATCTAGATGTGTATAAGAGACAGGTATCNTGCCTCCAAGCGAGGTATGTCATAGAGCACATACCTCCGTACGACAGCTTCCATGCCTCCAAGCGAGGTATGTCATAGAGCACATACCTCCGTACGACAGCTTCCATGCCTCCAAGCGAGGTATGTCATAGAGCACATACCTCCGTACGACAGCTTCCATGCCTCCAAGCGAGGTATGTCATAGAGCACATACCTCCGTACGACAGCTTCCATGCCTCCAAGCGAGGTATGTCATAGAGCACATACCTCCGTACGACAGCTTCCATGCCTCCAAGCGAGGTATGTCATAGAGCACATACCTCCGTACGACAGCTTCCATGCCTCCAAGCGAGGTATGTCATAGAGCACATACCTCCGTACGACAGCTTCCATGCCTCCAAGCGAGGTATGTCATAGAGCACATACCTCCGTACGACAGCTTCCATGCCTCCAAGCGAGGTATGTCATAGAGCACATACCTCCGTACGACAGCTTCCATGCCTCCAAGCGAGGTATGTCATAGAGCACATACCTCCGTACGACAGCTTCCATGCCTCCAAGCGAGGTATGTCATAGAGCACATACCTCCGTACGACAGCTTCCATGCCTCCAAGCGAGGTATGTCATAGAGCACATACCTCCGTACGACAGCTTCCATGCCTCCAAGCGAGGTATGTTCTGAGCACATACCTCCGTACGACAGCTTCCATCCCTTCATGCGCTGCCCTGACTTGAAATATCGAAAGAAAGTTGATAAAATCCTAACTATAAATTGGAAGGTATATCAAATATAGCGCACAACCTGACGATTCCAGCTGTCTGCCGTCCAGCAGGACTAGTCTGGACCTGGTGCTGGGTGAGCCTTGTTACGGTTACAAAGTATATTTACGATGTATTAATTATGAAATCACCACACACAGTCCTGAAGTATGATGTCACCACACACACTCACCAAGTATGTTGTCACCACACACTCACCAAGTATGATGTCACCACCCAGTTTGCCACTTGCTGCGGTCTGGCGTGGCCGCAATCTTCGGTCCCCAGTCGGGCCAGACGTCGGCCCACGTGCAGAGCATCTGCGACGCCTTCGCGGTCCCGCACATTGAGACCCGCTGGGACTACCGCATGCGCCGGGACGATTACTCCGTCAACCTCTACCCTCATCCGTCGTCACTCAGTAAAGTGAGTAAAATATTAATCAATTTTATCTTCTATTAATAATCACAATAATCAATATTACATATACACAATAATATAAGACAATAAGCAATATTTTGTGGTGTTGCAGGCGTACCTGGACCTGGTGCGGCTGTTCGGGTGGACGTCCTTCTGTATCCTGTACGAGGACAACGAAGGACTCATACGCCTGCAGGAGCTGCTCAAGACTCCACCGCAGGAGTTCGAGATCTCCATACGCCAGCTGGACAGGGGCAGTGACTTCAGGTGATGAATGTGGTGAATGTGATGAGTTGTGTGGGGGTGAATGTGATGAGTTGGGTGGGGGTGAATGTGATGATTTGGGTGGGGGTGAATGTGATGAGTTGGGTGGGGGTGAATGTGATGAGTTGGGTGGGGGTGAATGCGTGAGTTGCGTGAAATTATTTGAGTGGTAAATTGAGTGTCAATAATTGTGGTCCTTCAACAACCTTCCAAATTACAAAGATTTTCCAATCACCGGAAGAAGATTCATTATTGAGTTTTCTAAAGTGTACTTTGCTAACATAAAAAGGGTTTTCAAGTTTCGATTTCAATTTTAATAAGTTCATAACACACTGTGTAAATTGTGTAAGTTTGTAATGTAAAGTGTAAAGTGACAAGCGTATCTGAAAGTAAGAGTTTTCATTTATAGGTAACCTTGTCAACCGGACATATGTATATTTGCAGGTCAACATATTCCCAACAAATATATTCTTATTGATGATTTTATTTGCACGAAATTTTTAATAAAGTACGAAAAGTCAAACAATGTCAAACCTTTGCTCCTTCATCACTAATAATTCAATGAAGCGCAAAACACTTAAATTGGGATGACGATAAAAACTTAAATTGGGATGAACTAAAAACTAAAAACTATACATTATAAATAAATTTCCAAGCGCAGCTCAAAACACTTTACTAATTTGCATTAATAATTAATTATTTGGCGGTGAGCAGATCTACTCATTAATGTTGCTGTAGCAGTCCTAATGATTAATAATATTAATATTTTTGTCATTTTCATGATTTATTATTAATATTATAGGTCTAATAATCATTTCTTGTTCATATCGTAGGCCTAATCATCATTAATTTTATTCTTCATATCGTAGGACTAATCATCATTTATTCTTCATATCGTAGGACTAATCATCATTTATTCTTCATATCGTAGGACTAATCATCATTTATTCTTCATATCGTAGGACTAATCAACCTTTATTGTTCATATCGTAGGACTAATCATCATTTACTATCATATCGTAGGACTAATCATCATTTACTATCATATTGCAGGCCTAATCATCATTTATTCTTCATATTATAGGCCTAATCTTCGTTTACTATCATATTATAGGCCTAATCATCATTTACTATCATATTATAGATTTATAGGCCTAATCATCATTTACTATCATATTATAGGCCTACCCTGCGCGAGATCAAGCGGCTGGGCGACACCAACATTCTGCTCGACTGCCAGACCGACAAGATCGTCGAGGTGCTCAAGCAGGCGCAGCAGATCGGCATGATGACCCCATACAATAACTTCATCATCACCTCTCTGGTGAGTCATCATCACTTCCCTGGTGAGTCATCACCTCCCTGGTAAGTCATCGTTCATAAGGTCGCTGTGTTAAGCCAATACTCAGATAAATATGTGAGACATTGTCCAAGTATCGTTGACCTCTTTGCTCGTATTTGGTTCATCCTGACCCAATTTAGCCAGGCATGAGGACGTATCAGTGCTACGTCCGCTCTCTGCTCGTGCTCTAGGTGAGAAAAGGTGTCAATATTTGGACAAAAAAGTAGACCCATTTCTAGGTCAGAGTGAAGTCATTTCTGGCTGTCAATTTCCTGGATGGTATGACCGCCGGGAGTCGCTCAGCCATGCATGAGTTCTAAACTTGGCGTCACGACTAATTTTTGACCTGCCCAAAAAATACTTCATGTTGGCCGACTAAAAATTGGGCCGAGAACCAAATTTTACAACACTTCTCTTTAACTTCACTTCTTGTTTGTCTGTCTGTCTGTATGCTACAAATCTTATAATCGATATTTAACACAATTCTACCTGTCCAATCGATCTGAAATTTTGCACACCTGCGTAAAGTTGGAGACAATGCATGAATCAATTGCCAGAATAAATAATTTTATAAATAAAATTTTTTTTATTAATAAATGAAATTTAAAAATAATTTCGTCGGCTACAAATCTTATAATCCATATATGACACAATTTGACCTGTCCAATCGATCTGAAATTTTGCATAATTGCATAAAGTTGGAGACAATGCATGAATCAGTCGACAGAATAAATAATTTTGAAAATTTACAAAATTTTGATATCTTAAAAAATGTTTAAAAATAGTTTTTTTTTAATATTTGAAAATAAAATTAGAAATTCATTGTACATGTGTAACATCCAAGACACTGGATTATTCAGAAGTCTTGTCTTTAAAAAGTAATTTTTAAACGCATATTATTTAAATCTCAATAGCTATAGGACATCAAATAATGGACATCAATAGAAAGAAGAAATTTCTAATTTGAGGTGAAGATTTTTTCGGTTAAATGCAACTTGTTGCTTCCGAGTTCTTGAAGAATAAAAAATTGTGCTGCATAGTTCATACAACGCACTGTACTGCAGTACACAATTAAACAATACAAGCTCTGTGTTGTGCTGTATAACGATACTATTTGTAGCTTAAATTATATCATTCATTATGATTTAGCGAATGAAATAAATTATTTCTAATTAGAGCAGATTTTCTTGTTAATTTAAGTTACAATTAAAATCAACTAATTAGACAATTGTTACACTTAATGAACGTCCTGGGATTATTATTCATTACAGAAATAAAACAATTGCATTATTTATCACTTCTATTTTAATCTGTAACTATTGTCAAGATTCCGTAGCAGAACATTTGATTCTCTTTAACTTGTCTCCAATTTGCTTCTTTGGGAGGCTTGATGAAATTTATTAAATCGCATCGTTATACGCTGAGCGAGACATCGATCCGGCGCTCGAGGGCTGCCATGTCTCGAGAGTCTCGGCGCCTGAGGGCTGCCATGTCTCGAGAGTCTCGGCGCCTGAGGGCTGCCATGTCTCGAGGGTCTCGGCGCCTGAGGGCTGCCATGTCTCGTGGGTCTTGGCGCCTGAAGGCTGCCATGTCTCGAGGGTCTCGGCGCCTGAGGGCTGCCGTGTTTCGAGGGTCTCGGCGCCTGAGGGCTGCCATGTCTCGAGGGTCTCGGCGCCTGAAGGCTAACGCGTTATTATATTTATACGTTAAAACGCAAGGTTCTCTGGCTAGTCGAATATAATTATGATTAATTAACTTGGATAATTAAGGAACGAAATATTAAACTGTTCGTTACTTCTATTTTGCACTTTATTGACACATGATATAGTGACAGACGTTCATAACGGGGAAGTTTCTTAAAATATGTGTTGTATACAATTTATATATATGTAAATATATGTTGTATCAAAATATATATTTCGTTAGATATGTATGATAATATCCATATACATATAAACTAATTTTCGAACTATAATTTGGATGCGTGCTTGCCTCGCTGTCTAGGAAAGTATAGCAAAACCTCTAATAAAAACGATAATTAAATCAATAAATCATTTAATTAAAGATATCGTTTAAAAATATGTCTTTAATTGTCTGTACTTAATTGCCTACATAAAGCTCGAGCCGTTCACGCGTATTTTTGTTATCGTTTATGAGTTAGCGCTAACAGCGTCGTTAGGCCGGTACTTAATTACAGCATTTATCGACCAGCCGTCGGCGCAGGCTGGCCTCTTGTGCAAAGTACAGCTTAATGAAATCAGCCGCTCGCGTAGGCCTAGTAATTTTTAACGGCCCCATATTGATGCGCGGGGGCGGTGCAAAGTGGGCTAGAGCCGCGACATGGCAGAGTAGCTTATTATACGTGTTCTACGTAGTATACGTGCTCTACGTAGCATACGTGCTATACGTAGTATACGTGCTCTACGTAGTATATACGTGCTCTACGTAGCATACGTGCTCTACGTAGCATACGTGCTCTACATAGCATACGTGCTCTACATAGCATACGTGCTCTACGTAGCATACGTGCTCTACGTAGCATACGTGCTCTACGTAGCATATACGTGCTCTACATAGCATACGTGCTCTACGTAGTATACGTGCTCTACAGTCTTTCCTCGCCGAACATTTCACCCTCACCCTAACACTCAACACTCACCCTTTTACTTTTTACATTCCCTACCCTCTTTCCCCCAACACTCCTCCCCTTCCCCCAACATCACCCCCTTCCCTCAACACTTCTCCCTCAACCCCCCACTTCACACCCCCTTTCCCCCAACACTTCCCCCACTTTACACCCACCTCTCCCAACTTCCCGACAATCCCGCTCTCAGAAGTTCGTTCTTCTCGCAACTTCGGCCATCAAGTCTCTGGCTGAACATCCAAAATTCGGAAATTTATCGCCGATTGATCATTTTTCCTTACAAATCCATAGATGGGATCGGTCGTGAATTTAATGATCAAATAACGTACTTCTCAAAATGAAAATTATTCTTTTGCTGGTATTATTAATCGTTCGTTTGAAATTTGTTTAAGAATCGAAAAAAATATATTTTTGTGGCGTCGAAACATGAATAATATAATGTGATGCAATAAGTATAAATTTTCGGTCACTGCTCGGATGTCAATTTTAGTAATAGTTAATTTATTTTTCGATTTCCATGAAAAATTAGCGTAAAGTTTCACTGCTCAGAGACAATTTATTTCATTGCTTCACATTTGTATAATCGGAAAATGAGTGAATTTCGCTAAACTCCTAAAATGTTTAATAATGATATTGAAATGATTGCAACTAAACAATGTAAACACTTGCATTGCACAATCTCGGCTTGGCATACACAATAGATTGTGACTCAGGCCGCACTGGTAAGTAACAATAAACATTCCACAACTCAAATGGCTTCATTTCACCGCCATCATTCCATAACTTCCATGCTATCATTCCACGTCTTCATCCCATAAACCCTTAGGGATAAAAATGGAGGAATGATAACCGGAGACTTGTGGGATGATGGAGGTGGAACGATAGCTACATCATCCCACAACTCCCCCAAGAACCCATATCTCCACCATGCCTCCACATCACTAAATAAACAGCCACAACTTGCCACACAAACGTCAGCGCCGAGCGATCGCAGCCTCAACGGAAGTCTGTATCGTCGCCACATTTTGCCGCGCTCGACACTAATTCTCGACAGGGGGGCTGAATTTCCTTTTTGAAGGAGGGGGGGGGTGAGGCAGTATTCTATTTGGATACCGGTGTTCTCTGAGGGATCAGTATTCTCTGTGGGTACCGGAATTATCTGGGAGAGGGCATGTGAAAATGTATAAGGTATTCCCTATTTGGAACAGTATTCCCTGTAGGGGAGACAGCAATCTTTAATTGGGGAGATCAGAATTCTCTGGGAGGATCAGAATTCTCTGGGAAGATTAGAATTCTCTGGGAGCATCAAAATTCTCTGGGAGGATCAGAATTCTCTGAGAGGATCAGAATTCTCTGGGAAGATTAGAATTCTCTGGGAGTATCAAAATTCTCAGGGAAGATTAGAATTCTCTGGGAGCATCAAAATTCTCTGGGAAGATTAGAATTCTCTGAGAGGATCAGAATTCTCAGGGAAGATTAGAATTCTCTGGGAGTATCAAAATTCTCTGGGAGGATCAGAATTCTCTGAGAGGATCAGAATTCTCTGGGAGGATCAGAATTCTCTGGGAGGCTCAGAATTCTCTGGGAGGCTCAGAATTCTCTGGGAGGATCAGAATTCTCTGAGAGTATCTGGGAGGATGAAAATCCTGTGGGAAAATGAAAACTTTCATCAACGTCTCATGGCTTCAGCTGATGCGTGACCATAACGGCACACGTGGACAAATTTTACCGAAATATTCTTGTTTACGATTAGATTTCGTAAGGAAAACGTTTATTTAACGTTATTTCAATGTGAGATGCCTAGTGGAAAGAAACTGGATGCTTCGGGTCTGACATTGGGATCAATAATTCGGTAACTGGAGCCAGACATGTTGGCGCAGCAATACGTTGTCTTGCTACATCCTTGTCGGCTGATTGAAATAAAGTGGAAATAACGTTTATTTAACGTTATTTCAATGACATCAACTCGTGATCAATTTTTATTAAACTTACAATAAGTGTCTTTCGAACTCACCGTATCTTCGCTTGCTTGAAGGCTGAATTGTCGATTAGCTTTTAAATAACGTATTCGATATCCGCGTGCCTCACGCACCATGCCTCACGCACCGTGCCTCACGCACCGTGCCACACGCACCATGCCTCACGCACCATGCCTCACGCACCATGCCTCACGCACCATGCCTCACGCACCATGCCTCACGCACCATGCCTCACGCACCNGGGGGTGAGTGATGGGGACACTGAGTACCAGCTCAGGATGGGGGTGAGTGATGGGGACACTGAGTACCAGCTCAGGATGGGGGTGAGTGATGGGGACACTGAGTACCAGCTCAGGATGGGGGTGAGTGATGGGGACACTGAGTACCAGCTCAGGATGGGGGTGAGTGATGGGGACACTGAGTACCAGCTCAGGATGGGGGTGAGTGATGGGGACACTGAGTACCAGCTCAGGATGGGGGTGAGTAAAGGTGCAGGATGGGGTGAGTAATAGTGGATGATGGAGTGAAGAAGGATGGAGCGAGTAATAGTGAAGGATGGGGTAAAGAATAATGTAGGATGGGGTGGCTAATAGTGAGGGATGAGGTGAGTAATAGTGAAGGCTGGGGGTGAGTAGTGGTGAAAGATGGGGTGAGTAATGGTGAAGAGTAAGGTGAATTATAGTGAAGGATGGAATTAGTTATAGTGAATAATAGTGAAGTATGGGGTGAGAACGCTGAAAGATGATTGTGGGTAGCAATGAGGACGGACCCGTTCGATAGCTCAGGATGGTGTCAGTATCGTTAGCGCTGTGCATATAAGTTCACGCACGCGATTTTTTTATTTATGTCCTTTCATACGGCATTTTTTTTTATTTTACAACACTTTTCCTTAACTTCACTTCTTGTTGTTTGTCTGTCTGTCTGCCACAAATCTTATAATCAATTTTTAACACACTTCTGCCACTCCAATCGATCTGAAATTTTGCACACTTGCGTTAAGTTGGAGACAATCCATGAATCAATTGACAGAATAAATAATTTTAAAATTGAATTTTTTTTCCAATCATAAAAAAATTTTAAAATAATTTTCTCTGCTACAAATCTTATAATCCATATTTGACACACTTCTACCAGTCCAATCAATCTGACATTTTGCGCACTTTTATAGAGTTAGAGACAATGCATGAATCCAGTTGACAGAATAAATAATTTTGAAAATTCACAAAATTTTATATATTAAAAAATTTAGAAAATTAATTTTTTAATATTTAAAAATAAAATTAGAAATTTATTGTACATGTGTAACATCAGAGACACTGCATTCTTTAGAAGTGTTGTCTTTAAAAAGAAATTTTTAGAAGCATATTATTTTCATTAAGCTCATTTATCCAATTGGACCATAAATTTGCAACCTTAAAAAATAAAATTCCAGGCCGTGCAATATTCCTGATTTCATAAATGAAACCTTTAATTTTTATAAAGAGTTAAATAGCATGACAAACTCATTTACCTCATTTACATTATTTTAAGAAATTTACCTCAAATGTATAACACGTGTCTCATAGTACATTAACGTGTGAATAAAATGTATGAAATATGCTGACGGCACTCATGTATGACGCAGTAATGTGTGTGCAGACAGAGACGGCACTCATGTATGACGCAGTAATGTGTGTGCAGACAGAGACGGCACTCATGTATGACGCAGTAATGTGTGTGCAGACAGAGACGGCACTCATGTATGACGCAGTAATGTGTGTGCAGACAGAGACGGCACTCATGTATGACGCAGTAATGTGTGTGCAGACAGAGACGGCACTCATGTATGACGCAGTAATGTGTGTGCAGACAGAGACGGCACTCATGTATGACGCAGTAATGTGTGTGCAGACAGAGACGGCACTCATGTATGACGCAGTAATGTGTGTGCAGACAGAGACGGCACTCATGTATGACGCAGTAATGTGTGTGCAGACAGAGACGGCACTCATGTATGACGCAGTAATGTGTGTGCAGACAGAGACGGCACTCATGTATGACGCAGTAATGTGTGTGCAGANACACATCTAGATGTGTATAAGAGACAGGCACATGCCTTTATGTGGCAATATACACATGCCTCTTTGTGGCGATATACGCATGCCTCTATGCGGCAATATGCACATGCCTCTATGTGGCAATATACACATGCCTCTATGTGGCAATATACGCAGTCCTCTATGTGGCAATATACACATGCCTCTATGTGGCAATATACACATGCCTCTTAGTGGCGATATACACATGCCTCTATGTGGCAATATATCCCCATATAACCACCCATCTCCAATCACGTATCGGCCCTTCAGGCTCCGCGCTAAGTTATTATTCGTCGGTCTTCGCTGTTCCCGTCACTCGTCAATGTCGATTGCATTTCAATTCTTGGCCGCCGCCTCCTGAGTCCGAATCAATCCATTAGGCGTCGCAAATTGATTTCCAGAGCAGGAAGAGGCTAGGATGTCCCAGGATCTTTGAAGCTACTATACGATGGACTAAGGGCTTTGAAGGGGGTAGAATGATCTTGGATTTTTGAAGCTGCTAGGATAACCAAGGTGATATGAAGAGGCTAGGATGACCTAGCAGCTTTCAAGAGGCTAGCAGGACCAAGGAACTTTAATCACATCCCAGTTAATGACGAAGGAATCAGTTGATAGTCATTCTGGTGTTTGTTTAACAAACGTTTTGATGAGATAAATTGTAAGCCGTAAGCCATGTCTATATATAGGGATGATTTCAAGATACGAATCCTAATATAATTTCATCATCAACACATGAATGGGAATTTAAAATATACAAAGATCTTTTCCTTAAAGGCGATGAAGATTTATCCTTCCTGATGTTTTGATTGCACAGTGATTAAATAATTCCACACTCATTACCACAATCGACCTTCTCTCAAACCTTTACATTTACCTTTGCCGCACAAACCTTTGCCGCACAGTAAATCTTACTAATAAAATAATATCGAGATTTAAATTATTAATCTAAGTTTGATTGTAAATAAGAAAGGACTTCACAAATAATTCAATAGATATGTCAGACGTATTAAAGCGGTGCTCCAAACTCTCGACGTCTCTTCTTCCATTACCACAACGTTAAAAGTGTTACAGCAACGTTCAATCTCTCTTACCTCACCATGACGGTAAACACATTAAAGTAAAACTCAAAAGCTCTTCATGCCTATATTCATCTTAAGACGATGGTAAACATATTTGAATAATACTTCAAATATCTTTACGTCTCTTTCAGCGCATTTTCTCATTTATGGAAAAAATGCACTATTGTGCTCGCCATGCATGTGCCTCCGTCTGTCTGTCCGTCTGTCTGTCCGTCCGTGATTTCACGTTTTTGTCGACGAGAAAATGCGCTCTCTGTCACTCACTGCAGTGAGTACTGAGTTATACCACGAGTTATATCTTACCACGACCGTATCTGAGTTTTATCTTACCACGACCGTAAACGTATTAAAACAAAACTTCGAAACATTTTACGTTACCCTTTCCCCCATTGAGGTGAACATGACTGGACTCACCGGCCACATCGAGTTCGACTCGCTGGGCTTCCGCACGAACTTCGACCTGGACATCGTGGAGCTGGACCTGCAGGGCTTCGTGAAGGCCGGGTCCTGGAACCTGGTGCTGGGCGCCAACTACACCAGGACGTACCAGGAGGTCCATGACCAGGCCATCAGGGGGCTCAAGAACAAGACACTCATCGTCACTTTTGCGTTCGTGAGTAAATACTTACGGCTTGTGAAGAAACTAAGTCTTTTAAAAAGACTTAGTTTCTAAACAATTACGGCTTGTAAAGAAACTAAATTTTTTAAAATATTCAGTTTCTAAACCATTACGGCTTTTTTTTAAAGAGAGTAGAGCTTTTTTAGAAACTAAGTCTTTTGTTCACAGGCCATCAGGGATCTTAAGAACTAGACCTTCATCGTAACCTTCCCTTTCGTCCGTATATATTAGATTGATGCTGCTTGGTAAATCTTTTTCAGAAAATAAATCATATGTTTGTATCTTCAGATGACTCATGAACAAGGCTCTAAATGTTAAATTTGCTTTAGGATTAATAATGAGTGACGGCATATTAGAGCTTATAAGAAGACTAATGTTCTTATTTTTTGGAAATTTGTTATTTTTTATTATACTCCAAGGTTTAAAATTTAATTCTAGTGAAATATGAAGAAAACTGTTGATGACACATCTGATACAACTTTCTCGGCCCAAATTTTTTTTCATATTTTTATTATTCGCCAAACTCATTATAGTAGAGGCCAAATTCACCCCTTTAAGACATTAATAGTACATTGAGTGCTATGCAACATTACATTACATTGATGTTTGCTTATTAAAGAGACAAAACCTCAAAAAATTAATATGTATACATTTTGCACATGTAATTATTGCACTGCCAGACCGACCCTTACATCATGCGCAAGAAGAGTGCGCACAGCCTCACCGGCAACGACAGGTTCGAAGGTTTCTGCGTGTCTCTGCTCGACGAGATCTCTGCCCTTCTCGGCTTCAATTACACGCTCGTGCCAATCAAAGATAACGTCTACGGCACCAAGAACGTCGAGACCGGCGAGTGGAACGGCATGATTGCAGAGCTGCTGTCTCAGGTCAGAGACGTGTTTAGACTTACTCAGGTCAGAGACGTGTTTACTTACTAAGGTGAGAGACGTGTTTAGACATACTCAGGTCAGAGACGTGTTTAGACATACTCAGGTCAGAGACGTGTTTAGACATACTCAGGTCAGAGACGTGTTTAGACATACTCAGGTCAGAGACGTGTTTAGACATACTCAGGTCAGAGACGTGTTTAGACTTACTCAGGTCAGAGACGTGTTTGGACCTACTTAGGTCAGAGACGTGTTTAGACTTACTCAGGTCAGAGACGAGTTTGCACTTACTCAGGTAAGAGACGCGTTTAGACTTACTCTGATCAGAGACGTGCTTACTTACTCAGGTCAGAGACGTGTTTAGACTTACTCATACCAGAGACGTGTTAAGACTTACTAAGATCAGAGACGTGTTTACTTACTCAGGTCAGAGACGTGTTTAGACCTACTTAGGTCAGAGACGTGTTTAGACTTACTCAGGTCAGAGGCGCGTTTGCACTTACTCAGGTCAGAGACGTGTTTGGAATTTATTCATGTCAGAGACGTGTTTAGAATTTACTCAGGTCAGAGACGTGCTTGGACTTACAGGTCAGAAAGCTGCTAGAAATAACTAATATTATACTAATTCGGACTGAATTTATAATATTTTAAGAATATTAGAGTATTTAATTCCCGTTCATTTTAGTTCAACTTTAGTCCAACCAAAAAAATGGCAATTACATGTATTCAAATAACAATGTTTGAAATTGAAAGCCTCACCATTGTAGACGAAATACAAATGTAAATATGTATGTATATCTTCGACGTAACTTGAACAGCATCTGCCCAACAATACGTATATATGAATGTTTTTTTACTTATTCGCCCAGAGAGCTGACATGGCCATAACAGACCTGACCATAAACTACGAGCGCGAGGAGGCCGTAGACTTTACTATGCCATTCATGAACCTCGGCATCTCAATTATATACAAGAAGCCCCAGAAAATGGCCCCGTCTTTGTTCTCGTTTCTGTCGCCGCTGTCGGTGGAGGTTTGGATTTATATGATCACGGCCTACGTCGGCGTATCCATGATACTCTACATCTTGGCCAGGCGAGTTTTTCTACCACGTTTTTCTTCTCTTCGCTTCGTGTCCGTCTGTCTGTCTGTCATCAAAAACTCAAACCTTAATTTATAGCACTTCTGAAGATCCTAGCAACTTGAAATTTGGCGTGCATGCTTATGCTGCCTAACAATTCGAGATTTGATCATCAGAAGTACTAATAAGTTTAAAAAAATAAAAAAATAAAAAATAAAAATTCACGGTTGGGAATCTAGTTTTTTTGTCGAACATCCAGAGTTGCCAACCCTGGCAAATGATTTGAATTGCTAAAATTGCTAAACTAAAAAGTAGAAAATAAATAAATGTAAAAAACATTTTTAAAAATTTTTTTTTTCTGGTGTTACAAAACTAAAAACAATGAAATAACACAAATAAAAAAAACTTTTAAAAACCACGTTTTCTTAACGGACAAAAAAGAAACATTAACTTTTTCAGTGAGCTGTCCTAAATTTTATTCTTGACCTAAAATAAAGTATAAAGTTTATTTTTTCAAATCTTATGCTGAGAAAACACAAAAAAACGTTGGGTGGGCTTTAAGACACATTCATTACCCAAGTTCTATTCATAATACTTAATCTGTAGCTCCTCATAATATAAGATATTTAGATCTTCACAGTGCCCGCCCCACGTTTTTTGTGTTTTCTCAGCATAAGATATGAAAAAATAAACTTTAGACTTCATTTTAGGTCAAGAATAAAATTTAGGACAACTCACTGCAAAAGTTAATGTTTCTTTTTTGTCCGTTACGAAAACGTGGTTTTTAAAAGTTTCTTTTATTTGTTTTATTTCATTGTTTTTAGTTTTGTAACTACCAGAAAAACGTCTTTTTTTATATGTTTTTTTTATATTCATTTATTTTAAATTGATTCAAAATTGTTTAATTTGAATTGTCAGGAGGTTCAGCATTCGGTTAATCATTCAATAAAATCTAGAGAGTTTAATGATTCATTATTTATCAGGTGCATTAAAAATTTATTATGCAAAAATTAAATATCCATAAATGATCGATCAATAAAACTGACTTTCTGCTTATCCTCCTATACAATTTCTTGCACCTACTAATAGTGAACGTTTTTACCACAAGATCAGAAAAAATGTAACTTTACAAGTGATTTAAATGATTTAAAAATTCGATATAACTGATTGTTGCCACTCGCATCACTGACTTTAACGCGGTTCTTGTTCCAGGTTCACGCCGTATGAGTGGCAGAACCCCCATCCTTGTGACCCGGAACCTGAGAGCCTCGAGAACCAGTTTACGATGGTTAACTGCATGTGGTTCGCTATTGGTTCACTTATGCAGCAAGGCTGTGACATCCTACCGCAGTAAGATATCCTTGACAATTAAACCTATATTTGTAACGTTTACTGATTTTACTGGAACGTATTTAACGTTTTTAGCAGCAGGTGACACGATAGATTGCTTTTCTCAGGATTCACTCAGGTCAGAGACGTGAGTAAGTCAATGTATTTCGTCCTAAAGTAATGTGAATTAGATCCTTTTCAAACGCAAATATTAACAGCATAACAGTAAATTTTGCAATAATGTAATATCATACAGTTTTCAGACATATACATTATCTCCACCTTCAGTTTTGACCATGAATAGCTATTAAAAGAAATTCGTAATCACCATGAGAACCTGAAGATAATCAAATGCTGAGTTACTGCATTGACGTAGGTAAATGCTTGTGAACATCTGATATCATAAATGTCATCTTCCACAAGATAACCATCTGACACTTCCCAACATAACTGGTACTTCCCAACGTAACTGGCACATCCCAGCATAACTGGTACATCCCAACATAACTGGTACTTCACAACATAACTGGTACTTCTCAACATATCTGGTACTTCCCAACACAACTGGCACTTCCCAACATAACTGGTACATCCCAACATAACTGACACTTCCCAACTCCCAAGTGTCAGTTATGTTCTTGTTCTTGTTTCAAATTCTAGTAATCCGTCAGGGACCTTGTATAAACAATGAGCATACCTGTATACTTCAATGAAGTCCCCACGCAAATGTCGATAAGGGGGAGGTATACCCTAAAATTTTCAGATTTGGCATTTCTGGGTTTTAATCTCATCTTAAAGCTGAAATTCTGCTCTTTCCAATGGTACCACTGCCATCGCTGTACGCCAATATTTACGTTCATGACGTCTCTTTAAAGGGAAGCGGGTGAGCGAGTGCTTTAACTAATTAGATATAAAGTAATTAGCTGCTGAAATCTTTGAATATAGTTTCTACTTGAGTTGTGCTGCAGTTACATGCTTTGTCTCATCTTAAAGCTGACAGTCTGAGCTTTTCAACGATACCCTGCGATCCATGTACGTCAATATTTACGCACACAGCGGGGCTTTAACGGGGGGCGGGGGGTGGAGTTCCTTCACAAAATAGACCCAAGGTAATTCACTCGCTGAGACTACAAATATTGGTGTAGTAACAGATGCAGAAGCAAAATGCTGAGTTACTGCATTGACGTAGGTAAATGCTTGTGAACATCTGATATCATAAATGTCATCTTCCACAAGATAACCATCTGACACTTCCCAACATAACTGGTACTTCCCAACATAACTGGTACTTCTCCCAACGTGAGACCTATCCTCCTAGAGGATAGAGTTTTGAAGCCTATCTCCTCCTAGAGTTTTGAAGCTACAGCGATGAGACATATACCATTCTATTCGTAAAGACCATACCTATGCAGTAACACGGCCCTTTATGCAGTAACACGGCCCCCCTTCACGAATAGAATGGTATATGTCTCATCGCTGTAGCTTCAAAACCCTAGGAGGAGATAGATTTCTACAGTACCCCCTTTTTTGTCCGTTTTCTATGAATTTCACGTTTTCTATCAAATTTATTATATAAACTCCCAGTCACCCTCTTCGCTTATAAAAACTATTTTTGATAATACGGCACCATGGCAGCGCTGTGATGATGTTCCTTCACATAAGAAGCACTACTGTCTTGACTGTGTAGCATCATCATGAATATGATCTAGTTTATTCCTAAGTTCTTATTCAATTCATGAATAATGATGTATGTCATTCAATAATCATAATCCAAAAATAACAAATCACCCAGTCACCCTGGGTGATTAACATCAATACAATACATCATACAATAACATCAAGCTGCAGTCACCCTCTTCGCTTTGTGCGGAGTGGTGTTCTGCAAGTCGCCCCTAGCATTCTTGAGTGGAATTAGGCTACAGAAGCCTGTAGTTTGGTAGCTATGCTACATTTAGTGACTAATTCAAGGCGTGTGGGACTTTGTCGCGCCGTCCTGAAAAGTTCAACTTTTTGTCACGGAAAACCTATCTCCTCCTAGAGTTTTGAAGCTACAGCGATGAAACATATACCATTCTATTCGGAAAGACCATACCTATGCAGTAACACGGCCCTTTTTTAGATTTGTGCATAGTTTGGATTCAAAATGGGAGGAAAGGGGGGGGGGAAATGAGAAAAAATTAAAAAAAATGGAAAAATACTTGTAAAAAAACTAAAGCAAAAATCAAAAATCGAGCCGTGTTACTGCATTGGTATGGTCTTTACAAATAGAATGGTATATGTCCCATCGCTGTAGCTTTAAAACCCTAGGAGGAGATAGATTTCTACAGTACCCCCTTTTTTGTACGTTTTCTATGAATTTCACGTTTTCTATCAAATTGTCCGAAAAAATCACACGAACAAAAATGTCTTAGAATTCTGTTTTACATAAGTTTACCAAGTTTCAGAGTGATCCGTCCATAAACAAAAAGTTTTTCTGGAGGGTATACCTCCCCATAGAGAGCTTTGGAAGCTTCATAATCTTTCTTCATAAAACATCACCTCCAAGCATAGAATTATCCTTGTTGCACGCCTTTGAACACTATCTACTTAGTTTTTGTCCTTTTCAAGTTTCGGTGACCACACGGCACTTCAAAACTCTAGGTTTCGGCGCACGAAAACGAAACCAACAGGTTCATTGCTTCTGCATCTAGGGACTCATAAGAGCGTCTGATCAGCCCAAGAACTAAACTATCAATATCATCTTCCAGTTGAATTTTTTTTACGCATCCTTAACTGTATTATCAATTTTTGCGTTGTTGGCATGCATATAGCACACGCTGGACAGTAACGAACAAAAGAGGCCCAAGAAAGCTTCCTTGAAGCACGCCACTGCGCACTGATGCCCAGTCTGACACGGTTCCGTTAATACTGACATGTTATCGTCAACCTACTAGGAAATCGTTCAAATCACTGATCCATTGGCGTAAATTACCCTCTATTCCCAAAGACTTCATTTCACGCAACAGCCGCTCATGCGAAACACTGTAAAATTTCTTGGCAAAGTCGAGGTACAATGCATCCACTGGCTCCCTTTCGTAAAGCAGGCGAGTCCAATCGGTCAACGTAGACAAGAGGTCAGTGGTGCAGGATCTACCTGAAATAACCATGTTGACAGTCTGATAGGAGATGGTGGACAGTTAAGTGATCGATAATCCTATCCCTCACTACAGATTCCATTACCTTACATACAACACTTGTCAGACTGACAGGGCGATAGTTACCGGGGCTCCTCTTGTCGCCTTTTTGGAAAATGGTGTTACTTGAGCTTCTTTCCAATCGGCCCGTTGGTAGTTTTTGAATCGGCCGACTTTGATCCAAGATCAAAATCCCTAGCTTCGTTCAAGGTTATATAAAAGAATAGTGTCAAAGGACCGGCCAGGGCGGTTGCTAATTCTTTGAGCAATCTAGTATGGAAGCCGTCTGGTCCACATGACTTGTTGCTCTTGAGAATCTCTTCTTCGTGTAAACTGAGAACCACTTTTTACTCGATTTGACTCTTTATTCACATTCTCTTTCACTGAATTCATTTCAGTGTTTTTACTGAAACACTTTAGCCTAAAATGCATAAATATAGTTACACGCCATAGTGAAAATGCCAGTTGTGAGCCCGCCCAGCACGCACATCCACCTTGTCAGACACGGCTCAACCACGACTGATGTGACACAATTATTTATAATTATGCGTCAATTGCCTTCATCATAATAATGGTTATGTGCGCACCACAGTGCGGTGTCCACCAGAATGGTGGCGGGGATGTGGTGGTTCTTCACCCTTATTATGATCTCATCATACACGGCTAACTTGGCCGCGTTTCTCACGGTCGAGCGGATGGACAGTCCCATAGAGTCTGCTGAAGACCTCTCCAAGCAAACCAAGATCAAATATGGCGCTTATAGATCAGGGTCTACAGCGGCTTTCTTCAGGTCAGAAACTATGCCGACTCAGTTACATATGTTCCTATAAATTGATATAATTAGGGATGAGTTATTATAATACGGATGATACAGTGGTGACTCAGTTGGGGAACTCTCATGTAGAACAATGTAGGCTCAGTTATGTTATTGTTATATGAAACTATAAAGACTCAGTTACTTTATTATCATATGGAACAATGCCATCCGTTACGTCATTAACAAATGAAACGATGTAGTCTCCCTTTGTTTCTTAATCAAATGAAACAATGCTGGATTGTTAGTCAATTTTACACCCGTGAAAGTTTGTGCTTGTTTTGACCCTGTAAAAGTATCGCGCGGAGTCACAATTTCATAATAAATTCTTAAATCTTACCCATTAATTTTAAAGTGCTAAAACTTACCTTGTTTTTTATGAAGTAGCATTTTATAAATAGTGATGTTCATTATTCAATGTATTGTATAGTTGAACTTTTTGTTGTAACAGAGACTCGACCTTACCGACCTACCAGCGCATGTGGCAATACATGAACTCAACTCCCGGCGTTTTTGTTGACTCCAACGCTGATGGCTACCAGCGCGTGCAGGTACTGTCAACTCCTCAAATTCTTCACTATCCTGAATATGGTGGATTTAAAATAATTTAAAACAAGGTCAAAACACTGCAATCAATAAAATGCAAACCGGCGAGAAGGAAAAATTCTTTATTTATAAGTACAATATTGCATTTGCCGGAAAAACTGCTCCTCTGCCCCCTCTACCCTCATGCCGTTAATACATTTGTCCCCTCATACCTCCTTTCACGGCTCCCCACCCTTGTCACGCTCACTCCCTCACACCCAACTCTTACTGCCCCTCCACACCCTTGACCCCTTACCCTCCCCCTCCAACCCCGCATACACACACCCTAACCTACCCCACTCTAGTGCCTCACTTATCCCCTCAACCCCTCAACTCCCGCCCCCACAGGACGACAACGGCCTGTACGCGTTCCTGAGCGAGTCGACGAGCATCGAGTACGTGACGGAGCGGAAGTGCGACCTGGTGCAGGTGGGGGGCCTGCTCGACTCCAAGAGCTACGGCATCGCCCTGCCTCCTGGTGGGTGATAGGAAGGTTATTAGGCTGCCTCATTCTTTCTCATACTCCTAACAAAATTTGGGGACAGCTTAGGCTTCAGCAGAATATTCGCTACACTTGGCGCAGTTATTCTGGGTTTACGTGACTACTCGATTAAAATGAGCTTCTGGTCAGAATCTCATCTCCGACTTTATAGTCACCCGAGAGTATGATAAGGGTTGGCCGAGCTGAGTCATACCGCGTTTGCAAGCTTCTTAGAGGCTGTTCTTCAAACCCTGAGCCGAAGCGGTCATAGGTGAAGCGGTCGTGGAGCACGCTGATTTGCGTGCTCCACGAATCCTATAGGTGGCACCTGATTCGAAATCGGGCCCACATATATATTTTGTTAGGGCTACCACATGCTGCTTCATGCTGCCTCATGCTGTCTGCACGGCCGCAGCAAATATGCACGGCCGCACGCTGCCTCATATTTGCTCATACAGCCTTATAATTACTTACAGAAGAGCGCATCATAATTCCTCCTAATACATCGCCTCACAATTCACTCCATTATACATTCCTCACAATCATCACGCATCCAGCTGCTCTATTCATTCGTCCACGCTCCAACAAATTTAACCAGCCTAATGCAACACGACATAGAAAAGTTCTTTATAAAAAGAATTTTTGATAACAATTTATATTCAAGTCACGCAATATTAACATAGGTTAGAGTTAGACCCTATCTGCAATGATATATATAACGGAGCCTAATATGTATCTGCCATGATATATATTATAGGCCTCTACCATGATATATATTAGACCCGACCTGCGATGATACGGCGCGACTTATCGCAGGTACGGACCTGAGTGAGCCCTGGCATGGTGGTTAATATAACCATTTACGATTGTTCTTAAACTCAGCTACTCGTATTTGTATACATATGAGTGAGTGGTTTTATTCCCCCTCCCCGGAGTGATTTACTAACTATATGAATTAGTCTTAGAAAAATTAAAATACCGCCTATAACTATTCAAGATTTTAAATAATTTTTCTAGTTAGCAACCATTATGTCGACAATCATAGCAAAAACATCCGGATTTCTGCCTTTAATTAATACCTCATAATTCAGGCATTGTTTCTTAAGAGCCTGCCTCTGACGGTTATTAGCAATTTTACTTCTTTTCGTAATTAAATTGAAATTAGCTGCATTTGATGATGTGGACGGGAATATTATTTTTATAAATTAATTAATTGTAGCCAAAGCATCGCAATTGAACAACTTCATCTTCATTGATATGAAAACTTAATGTTACTGATCTAATAGTGGGAACTTGACTGATTTATCATAGAGTTGTCAATTGTCGCGTTTACTCATTGAAGTTTAAACTCACCTACATGAGTGTGGTTAATTGAATAGTGAAAACTAACTAATATGATTTAATACGAGGCGTGTTATAGAGTAAGCACCATTTTAAAATTAGGCCGCCGCAGTGATACGGCCGCCGTTTAGCGCATTTGCGCCGAGTAGCTTCTGTACATGTGTTGGGAAGACACAGACGCCAGTACGGAGCCATCCCATCAAGTCTGCATTTGCTTATGGGATTTTAAAATCCCTTCACCTATTGAGAATCCCACCGACTGCTAAGTACGTTCTGCAGTACGGTATGTGCTCAAGGCTTTAAATCTGTTGACATTCATCGCTTAATTATTAATCAGTGAAGTGTTTGGTGAAAACATTATGAGTGATGGGATAGTGCGGAAATAGTTTAGAGCATGTGAAGATGGCTGAACAAACATGCATGCATGGTGAGGAACGAAGTGGGAGACCGTCAGTCATTACTGATGATCTGATTGGAAAAATGGACTGTAAAGTGAAAGAGAACAGATGATGCACTATTTATTTCGTCCTTAACTGAAAATTTTTCCTTCTGTCTAAATAATTGTGTCCGAAAGTATAAATTACCGGAAACTGTACTGGGTGCCCCAAATTTTGACTGATGAGCACAAGACCGAAAGCTTGGCGGTGCATTGAGTTTTCTCGAGCGATACATTAACGGGGGGAGGAGACTTTCCAAGTCATATTGTCTCAGGCGATGGAACGTGCATGGGTAGCCAACGTTAAACCAAAATACAAGCAGCGCCATGGCAATGATTGACGGAGTGAAAATGACTGTGAAACAATCGTTGTCTGATCAGGCGGCAAGCTTTTCCGACGATGGCATATAAAAAGCTGAGCCCAAGATTTGATAAATTACTATTTATTAATAGGAATTATGTAGAATTGTAAATTATGACCTTTCGAGTGACTAAATTATATGTTGAAAATTTTATTTCTTGTTTTTCTTATATCAAAACGGTGTGGTACTTACTTTAAGAACACGCCTCGTATTTCATCAATAATGAGTGCAATGCCTGGCAGTGCCGTCATGTACCGCGGTAGAGCTTTGTGTGTGATGATCATAACACTGGCACTACACAGGCTCCCCCTACACCATTACCGTTGTATACAAAGTGTGTGGTATGTGTGTGAAGATCATAACACTGGCACTACACAGGCTCCCCCTACACCATTACCGTTGTATACAAAGGGTGTGGTGTGTGTGTGTGATGATCATAAGACTGGCACTACAGAGACTCCCTCTTCACCATTACCGTTGTATATACAAAGGGTGTGGTGTGTGTGTGTGATGATCATAACACTGGCACTACACAGGGTCCCCCTACACCAGCGTCATCAGTGACGCCGTACTGTCTCTCCACGAGAGCTCGACCATCCAGGTCCTCAAGAGGAAGTGGTGGAAGAAAGGGCAAGGGAAGTGCTCTAAGGTGCGTCACTGTACTAGCAACTAGTGATGGCATGCATGCTTGTAGTGTGCATGATAGCATGGCATGTGTTGTACTAGCAAGTAGCAACTAGTGATGGCATGCATGCTTGTAGTGTGCATGATAGCATGGCATGTGTTATATTAGCAAGTAGCAACTAGCGATGGCATGCATGCTTTCAGTGTGCATGATATCATGACATGTTTTGTACTGACAACAGTGTTCACACAAGTTTCGCTTGCGACGTGGTAGCATGACATGTGTGGTGTATATTTGCATGTGTAGTACGGGATCTCGGATCTGTGCACGGAAGATTTCTTCAAATGGTATGTCAATATCTGAATGTAAATATTCGTACTGTCCTTTAATGGCAAATATTTTATAACATATATATATATTTTTCAATTTTGATCGCGAAAAGTAATGAACCCTATTCATTAAATCCTTAACAAATGTAAAAATTACTCATTGCTTTCTATTAAAATTCAATCTAATTTCAATAGAAAGCAATGAGTTCAAATTGATGAAAAATTATTGTTTATAGTGAAAAATTTGCGTCCTGTACTTTTAGCATCTCGTTAAGTCTTCATGATGATTAAAAAGTTACTTATTAATAAAATATCACCGCAGTGGTTAGAGCCACTGTATGCGCAGTGCTGGCGGCACCGAAATAAGAGGAGCTAGTCGGGGGTTCGAACCTCGGCAAGCTCAGTTGATTTCTTAGTGTCGCTGTGGACGGCGCTTGGTGGCCGTCAAAAAGGTGGTGCTGCCAGCATGGCCTTGGGTGTTTGTCCCTAAGCGAACTTTAAGTTTGTGTTACCCGGGGCTTCTTGAGGGCCATTCATTTTTGCTAATGAACGCTGGAATGTGATCCTGAATCCAGTTTTGGGTCATGTTTGAGCCATGTGATGAGGCAGAGTCTTGTTGAAAACTCCATGGTGAACCATTGAAGTGTTTAGGGGCCCAAGGTAACATGTTACACAGCTTCCAAAATGTCCGAAATGTAGCGCTGACTGTTCAATTTCACTCCTGAGGGGACAAAAACGAGTGGGGACCTCCATGCGGCGGTTACCGCGGCCCAAACCATCACGAACATTGGATTTTGACGTCTTGTTGCTGTTCTGGTTGCCACAGATCCATCCCGACTTCAAACTCTGTCATTTTGACGGTTAACGCTTTGTTCAATGTCAAATTTTTTCTCGTCACTGAACACCAAGTTGGGCAGCGTGCCATCCTCAATGAGATCCAGAATGTGGTGGCATCTTTCGAGCCTCATTCGTTCGTGACGGTCTGTTAGTTCATGCCTTGTTAGCATCTTGTAAGGGGAGGTTTTGAGGTCATCTTTGAGGACTCTACGCATTGATGTCTGACTGACTCCTGCTTCTGCAGCCAACTTTGCAGCTGAGCGACGAGGGTTTCTCCTCAACTTCTCCCTCGTGTTTTTGACCAATTGTTTTGTTCGGACACTTCGTTTCCTTCCTTGACCAGGTCGAATGCATGTTTCACCAGTTTCCTTGAATTTTTTTGCCACCTTTCACACAGTTTCACGACGAATTTGGTGCTTTTTCACAATGACTGAATTACTCTCGCCCTTTTCATAAAGGGTTACAATTGCATTTCTATCTACTGCCATAAGTAATAGTAAATTTAGACACCTTAGACTTCTGCAATATAAAATAGATGAATTAATAGATGATATTAAGCTTCATTATAAAAGAAAAGTCTCCTATTAGAAACCAATTTATTTTTATATAGCAAACATCCGTTGCAATAAATATGGCGGACCCTGTAGACCGAATGAACATTATTATTAAATCTCCTAACCGATCTATTGCCTCCTGATCTGATATCTACTTTGTTACATTGTGAAGCATTCTCTAGACGATATGAGTGGCGAGATACTGTAAGTGGTCAGGTGCGAGGAACTTAATTGAACATAAGATTTTTATACACATACACATGAACCATTCAATCTTAATTAAGAAAAAAATCACTTTTTACATTCAAAAGCCCTTCTCATCAATACGCGTTTATCAAGTGCCTCGAAATGACACTAAACGACTTTAATCATTTTATTTGCACCAGTTTTATTTTACATCCTCCCGATAAAGATCTTCTGTTGATACGTGTCCTTTTTATATTAATTCCTTCCGATAACGATCTTCTGCTGATATATGTCCTTCATATATTAATTCCTGCCGATAGAGACTTTCTATCGATTGACGTGATAGATTATTGAATGTGATGTTGGTTGTACCGGACCAAGGTTCCCCACACAAGGACGCGCTAGACGTGGCCATCCTGCACCTGCAGGAGACTGGGCGTCTCTTCATCATGAAGCAGATATGGTGGAAGGAGAAACATGGAGGAGGAAAATGCAAGGTATAGACAATAGGCTGGAAGGAATTTACATTAACGTTGAAAATTATAACATTTATAACGAGTGAACTAACCTATAACTTGTTGAAAGAGAAAAAAATCGAAGATGTTAATGGTTTCTGAGAGTAATAATAAATGAACAAGGATATAATTCGGTCGACGAAGAATATTTTTTTATATGTTATCGCAATAAAGAGTGAACTAATCAAACTTTTAGTTGAGTAAACACGTTTTTTGGTTCTTAGCGTAGTGAACAACGAAACTGCTAATAGTTCAGTTGACAAATAAAACGTGCGAACATGCGTCTTGATATCTTAGCGTAATTGAAATGAAGTGACAATTAATTCAGCAGCCAGCGAACACCTATGAAACAGAGCGCTGCATAAATGTGTATTTTTAATATGCAATTTTGAGTCTTTTTTTACTACACTCATCCAGTAACCTTAGTACGTATTATGTTTTCTCAACGAAATACTAAGTGCTTTAAACATGTAGTTGTTATTATAAATAAATTACAAGGCAATAATGCAAACCTTGGCATGCTTAAAACGCACGTGGACGTATTATTCATCGATATAATCACCTGAATTATACATTGCATGGTGAATGATAGCCAAGCACATGATCGGTGATTCCTGTTGCATTATTTCTTTTGATGCTCGTGTTTGCATGCACTGTCCTATAAGTCTTTTCAATATCTATGTAAAGAGATTGAATTGTTTGTATTGTCAGTTGCATAAGTTATGCGGATGTTGATCAGGATTTTTTCCCCCTGCTTTGTTGAAAGTTGAATATTCTTATATAATCATTGAAAGTGAGACATTAATGTAAAATTTAAAAACAAAAGACTATATTTATTAAACTAACAGCTAGAACAGACGTCAGTTGATCCATCGCACTGGAACAGAAACGAAGAACTTATTTCAATACGGCTTGAGACATGAATCTTTTTAGACGCTAGTAATTTTTAATTTTGATTTTAGTATCAAGAATAATAATAGCTTAACTTAAGCAATACCCCTAATAAATACTGCAAACTCTCTCGGTGATACATATTAATTAATAAATGAATAAATAATATTAAAGAAACCTTCGAGCAACAATGGCTTAAAGAATAGAACGCTTCAAAGCCAACACTCCAAAGGCTTGTTTTTTATTACCACGTTTTTCTTAGCTCGCTTTCGTGTCTGTGATGATCAAATCTTGCAATCGATATTTCACCAACTTTCCCATTAGCTAGCGCTCTGAAACTTTTAGGGAAGCTCCGCTCCCGATAACAATACAATAATAATAATTTGTTGCACGTTTCCAGGCGTATAAACTCTAAAGGAACTCACAAGCAGAGGGGTTGGAACCTTTAATGCACGTCATCCTCGAGAGGATATTCGTGTTTAGACTGCGTATATCGATGATACGCATCGTATCATCGATACGTACATCAAGTCAAGTAAATTGGCTCGCAACAACGTGTTTCATGCGCCCCACGTTTTTCGTTTTAGATGTTGTAAAATATTTTAACTGAAATACAAAAGACCAAGAGAATGAAAGCAAACAGAGATCAGCAGCTGCCGAAAAATTATTTTCTACTTTTGAGTCCACATGAAAAACGTGGTCTTTAAAAATTTTTTTTATACATTTTATTTGGAGTGGTCACAGGCTGAGCTTCGTTCCTCACTGTGGGATCACTCAGGGAAATGACGGGGATCTTGTCCAAATAGCGAGGCATTTTTCACTGTGTTGGTAATCCTGACACAGTTTTGCCCGTATCAGAGCTACGTCGGCCTTTTTGCTAATGCCCTGGATAAAAGAAAGTGGGTCATTATTCGGACTATTTGGCACATTCATTTTGGGGGCGAGCCTCTTAATTAAACCTCGCATTTATATTAAATATTTATCCCTAATTTATTTAACATACGGCCGAGGAAAAATGACCGCCGGAGCTCTGAAGCCTCTTATGCAGAACAGGCGCTGCTTTACATGCGACCAATAAAATCCTCTGCGAGCTTCCATTAAAGATTTATGGAATGCAAATTGTCTCATTTGTGATGCACCTGTGACGTAAAATAAAACTCGCTTCCAAAAAGGTGATTTGGGCCCTCAAATTGGTTCTATTGCAAAGTAAATAAACTCGGGAGTTTCGAAATTGTAAGCCGAGGTAGCAGAATTTTGAAGACTTAAAAACACGAGGCTGCTACATTATTTTGCACATTACAGTAGGGAGTATAAAGAAGAATTATATTTATTTTATAAAGAAATGGTCGATGCAAGTTAAAAATATCTTTTGACCTCTCCCATTTGGCTTTAAATAAGTGCGTTTTTATTAAATTTTGAAACCAATATGATTTACAAGATGATTTGTTTTATTAAATGATTTGTTTTATTGAATTTTATTGAATCATTAAATTTGATAGTTCTATTATTGTTTGAGGCAAGATTACTTTTAATTGCGTTTCTCATACAACTTTAATTGTCAGTTAAAAGCAAAAAGCATATCCGCTTTGTAATATAGTTTACAAGTTTATATGGGCCCACTGAATCTTTACTGATCAATTAGATTAGTGATCTTTACTGATCAATCAGAACAAACTTAATCAACGGCCCTTCTCTGTGCATTCGGCGCAGAAATGAAAGCACCTGTTGCTTTTCTCACACTTTGGTTTCCACGATATCTTTACAGATGATGCAGCTTGAAATCTTCAGTCATGACTATACATTACATTATTTATTCAATCAAAATATCTTAAAATATCTAGACAGGAAACGTTTTAATGACTTCTATAATAGACACGAAAAGTGTTCATGGCATCTATAATAGACAGGACACGTGTTCATTACATCTATAATAGACAAAACATCTTCATGACATATGTAATAGACTAGAAACGTGTTCATGACACGTATAAAGACTGTAGACGCGTTCATAACATCTTCAGTATTAATGAAACGTGTTCATACCATCTATAATAGACTCCAAACATGTTCACGACATCTATAATTGTCACGAAACGTGTCCATGACATCAATAATAAACAAGAACCGTGTTCATGGCATCTATAATAGACAGGACATGAGTATATGACATCTATAATAAACATGAAGCGTGTTCTTGACATCTATAATAGACAGGACATGTGTTCATGTCATCCATATTAAACAAGAAACGTGTTCAAAACATATATAATAAACAAGAACCGTGTTCATGACATCTAGAATAATCAAAAAACGTATTTATGACATCTATAATAGACAAGACATATATTCATGACATCTATATTAAACAAGAAACGTGTTCATGACATCTATAATAAACAAGAAACGTGTACATGACATCTATACTAAACAAGAAACGTGTTCAAGACCTGTCTCTTATACACATCTAGATGTGTATAAGAGACAGATCGTATGCAATTTATCATTATGAGGATCAAGATATATTGAGCAAATTATGCAAAGTTAAGAATAAATATTTCGCGACTAACCTTCTAATTTATTACCGCTGGGGTAAATTTAGAAGTGGCTTGAAAGCCGTTTAGAGGTACATAGGTGTTTGCAAGTGCAATTGAGTGCAATGGTTAGTATGTTAATAAATGACTTGGTAGACCCAACGTGATTAAATTAATAGGGTTAAGCGCCACAAGGCGTAAAGTTAATAGGCTCGAAAGCCGGCAATACTGCCAAGTTTAATTAATGCGTCAGAGACGACTTAAAGTTGGGTCAAACCAAATAGTAACGTGGCATGCATCAATCATGATAAAGGGCCCATAGCATGCATTAAATCAAAAAGATGATAGGAAGCGAATTGCACTCTAGTCACTGCGGGCAATACAGTAGCCTAGAACACCATATGAGTCACCTCCGTATCACATAAGCCAGTCAAAAGTTCAGCCCTTAATGCTTCAAAATTTCTCTCGAAATCGATACTTAATCTAACTTAATCTTTAAGGTCTCCGTTACAGTAAAACGGAATACAATTTTAATTAAATGGAACATGAATTGGTAAAATTTCTAATACTATAATTTTGTACATACTTTCCCTCAGGGGCTTAAACAACATGAAAAGAGAATTTTGTTATTATTAATTTACGATATTACCGATATTTGAACCGAGATTTGAAAAGGACAAAAATTTAAAAGAGAATGTTCAGAGACGTGCAACAAGGATAATTCCGGGCTTGAAATGCAAGTCCTATGAGGAAAGATGAAAGATTATGAAGCTTCCAAGCCTCAGTTATCGACGTCTGCGTGGACCCCTCATTGAAGGATACAAATATACTCGTGGTTTATACAAGGGCCCCGAAGGATTGCTAGAATTTGAAACAAGAACCAAAACCAGGGGCCACGGCTATAAGCTAAAAAAACTGCGCTGCAACTTCTCCACGCCACAAAATTTCTTCTCGCTTCGAATCACCGACATGTGGAACAGCCCCCCCGATGACATCGTTGGTGCTCCAAGTATGAACGCGTTCAAGAACAGACTAGATAAAGCCATGGAAAAATATATGTTCAGATTTGAAATGCCTAGCACCATATCGAACCCGGTAGAAGTCTAGTAGCTACTTCAAACTATCGTCAGTCATGAAAAGATCCGGTCAAATGACACGATTTTAGATCTTCTGTGAACAAGGCACGAAAAGGAAAAAAAGAATCGGCGACAGGCCACATCAGGCCTACTCTACAGCGCCGACTTCATTATGTTATGTTATGTTATATGTCAGAAAAATCTAACTTCCAATAATATAAACTCAGCGCTGCCTTAATTTCTTATCAATGCAGTCTTTATCTTAGATCATTTTCTCATATAATTCATGTATTACATTTATTCTTTATATTTTGTATCACGTCGAGTCGTCAACAGTCTTTAATTCGGAATTATTTTCCTTTACATTCAATGCCGTCCCCTTTCTAAATTTCTTTCTACTTCCCTTCAGCAATTTAAATTATCTAAACAAAAATAATATTTTGGTTTCAGTTTTATTGTTCAGCAGTTCATGCAGCTAATCCTTCTACAAAATTTAGTGTTATTTGGAATGTTCGACTTTTGAATCTTTTGAAATAAAATTTATAATAATATTCTGTCGCAATAATCCTCTCTGGGAAGCCATATAGCGGAGCGCTCCAGCACTGCTGGGCAGCGCACACAGCGGCTCAGGGCAGACCTCAGCACGCCTGGTGCTGCTCACAGTCTTGGTGCCAGTGATGGGGCTTATTTAAATAAATTAGCTCTTACATAAGCATGGGTCTTGCTTAAAATCTGAAATTTGATGAAAAAATGTTACATAAAAATACGTGATATGCAAAAAGATGTCGCAAATAATATGTGCTAGATAAGAACTAGTGTTACATAAAAAGATGTAACATAAAATATGTGTTACATAAGAATAGGTATTTTTTTAACAAAGATGTTACATAAAATAGGTCTTACATAACATTACGTGTTACGTACGCTGTTGCAATAAAATTAAAAATAATTATCCTGCTACTGTTTGCCTTGAAGATGCATGCTTGGCTTGTAGGTGTCCTAAAAGGCTAGAATGTTACTGTGTGATGAGTTACTGTCGTATGGTTATTAATTGAGTAGATGGTATCTACAAGGAGTTAGCGCCAGGCTTATCTACATGTATAATGTTACGGGCAATAATGTTTCAAAATAGATTCTAAAGTAGATGATATCTTCAAGATATATAGTTTGACAAGGAAGTGAAGTATTAATAAGGAAACTGATATTGAGTTGATAAATCATGAATTAATTTGTCATGTAAGGATATAGTAGGTAGAGATTGATGGCTTTTTATCACCACGAAATTACATTAGATGAAGAGTTACCGCTAAATAGAATCATATAATTAGAGTTTCTTCAAAATTACTTTCAGGGATTTTCGTCAGGCTTGCGTTTGTCTAAAAATGAAATCAAATGAAGAATAATAATTGCACCATATAGTAATTAGATCCATAGAGGCGAACTATGGAGTGATAGCTGGTAAGCTATCAACGTCCTAAAATGTTGATTTATATTAGATATCTGACAATCACCTATTCTAGTTGATTGATAATCGGCACGGGAGTAACTAAAACAAACTTATCGTTAGTTGAACACTCTGAGGGTATGATTAAAACATTAGTTGCTAATAGAGGTATGATTAACACATCAGTAACCCAGCTAATATACGTAAACTTTGATATCATATGGCACAATTTTCAATATTTTCCCGGCCTGAGAAGACAGGTAGACTTTTCATCGCAACGCTGCAACAGCTTAAGAATTCTTTCTTTAACTTTCAACAGATGCACATGAGCTGCATTTCTACATGTGCTGCCTTTGTCTCCAGTCCTTCAACTGATTTTTTGCGCATTTTCTCATTTATGGAAAAAAAATGCACTATTGTGCTCGCCATGTCCGTCCGTCTGTCCGTCCGTGACTTCACGTTTTCGTCAACAAGAAAATGCGCTCTCTGTCACTCACTGCAGTGAGTACTGAGTTATATTTTTTTATTCATATGAGTTGAAGCTACGATCTCATCAGTTCTTCCAAGCTTCAGAATCATTTTCACTTACCTCACTACTAACAATCATTTGAGTCATTTATATGCACCTCAGAGCTTACGATCATTTAAAACAATTAACAGTCATATCAGTACTAATGGTTATCTTAATCATTTGCAGTCACTTCGTTACTTACAATCATCCTAATCATTGTTCGAGGTTGCCTCCTGCAGATGTCTAGTTCTGAGCAGAGTTTAGGCAGACGGGAGGCGATCCCGGTTCTGTACACGCGAGGTTCTCATTACGACGTGGGATACGACATCGTAAGTGTTTATAACGCATATGAATTATGTTAAATTATCAGGGGCCGTACTTTCAAAACTCGCTTAGTTGCGCGCAGCGGCCAAAGTATACGTAGAGGCCATCGTGCACCTAGCGGCCTAAGTACACGTGGCGGCCCAAGTGAAAGTACAGGGTGACACAAAAAAAACAGAGCTCACTAAAAGTCTTATAACTCCTGAAATTTTATTCAGTTTGAAACAAAAATTCTATGGAATTATGTACAACCTATGTAGCCAACATCTGCAAAATCTCAATTCTATACCACAAAAACTCTTTGTAATTGTGGAAATTATTCAACTTTTTATGAGCTCTGTTTTTTTTGTGTCACCCTGTAGCTGCCTAAGTAGGCGTAGCGGCCTAATTAAGTTCATGTAGCGGCTTAAGTGAGAGTAGCGGCCGATTTTGCGTATGTCACTGGAGAGTTTAGCTTGAAATGACTTCAGTGATTGGCTGCCAGAGTTACGAAAACTCATACCTTTTTTTGATAGTACGACCCTTGAGTGATGGTGATTATCATAAGAGATTTATTACATTGTTGGTGGAAAATGAGCTTAACAACGCCAACGTCAACAGTAAATCTACACGGGCGATCTGAACTAAAATGAAAATTATAGTTGATATAAATTACAAACCTAAATCCACTATTTACTTCCAATTAAATAGCTAAACTTGGTTGATTTCACTAACTGATGATCAGGGTAAATCGAACTAAATTAATACACTCATCAATTTTTCTTTGTAAACTGTACTGGTGAATGAGAGTAAAATAAGTAGGTATTGCAGAATATTGCACGAGTTCAACATTATTGTATTTTCTTACAACAAACTTGCATGATCAATCTGATTATAATGAACTTTTACATAGATTTGAAGCACAAACCTGGATATTTCACTGGTAACCTGAGAGAAAGAAATCATTCTCATAAACATATACTTCTATACTTCAGAAATTAAATATACAGTACGTAAAAACATACACTATAATAACAAAAGAAACACACACTACGTAAGCATACATTTATAAGAAGTATATACCGCGTAAATATACACAAAAATTAATTTTTAAATAATAATGGACCGACGCCACAGGGCCGTACATTCCGCGGCCTCATCGAAGACTTCCTGAAGAACTTCACGTTCCTGCACCAAGAGCTTCTGCCCGCCTACACCACCCAGCGGGGGCGACAGGCCTACGACGCCACGCTGGGCCTACTGAGGGGCACCTACCCTCACTACCTCAGGGAGCTCGAGGGCACGGCTGCGGGGGCAAGGGTGCCATTCCTACATGTTAGTGCATGAAGGTGGACAGTGGTGCATGATGGTGCATGATAGTGCATGAAGGTGGACAGTGGTGCATGATGGTGCATGGAGGTGGACAGTGGTGCATGATGGAGCATGATAGTGCATGAAGGTGGACAGTTGTGCATGATAGTGCATGAAGGTGGACAGTGGTGCATGATAGTGCATGAAGGTGGACAGTGGTGCATGATGGAGCATGATAGTGCATGAAGGTGGACAGTGGTACATGATGGTGCATGGAGGTGGACAGTGGTGCATGATGGAGCATGATAGTGCATGAAGGTGGACAGTGGTACATGATGGTGCATGAAGGTGGACAGTGGTGCATGATGGAGCATGATAGTGCATGAAGGTGGACAGTGGTGCATGATAGTGCATGAAGGTGGACAGTGGTGCATGATGGAGCATGATAGTGCATGAAGGTGGGCAGTGGTGCATGATGGTGCATGATAGTACATGAAGGTGGACAGTGGTGCATGATGGTGCATGTTAGTGTATGAAGGTGGACAGTGATGCATGATGGTGCATGTTAGTGTATGAAGGTGGACAGTGGTGCATGATGGTGCATGACAGTGCATGAAGATGGATAGTGGTGCATGATGGTGCATGAAGGTGGACAGTGGTGCATGATGGTGCATTTTAGTGCATGAAGGTGGACAGTGGTGCGTGATGGTGCATGTTAGTGCATGAAGGTGGACAGTGGTGCATGATGGTGCATGATAGTGCATGTTAGTGCAAGGTAATGCACGTTAGTGCATGATAGTGCATGTTAGTACATTATAGCACGTGTTAGTTTATGCTAGTACATTTTGGTGCATGATAGTGAATGTTAGTGCACGTTAGCGCAAGATAGTACTTGTTAGTACATTATAGCACATATTAGCTCATGATAATGCATGTTAGTACATTAGTGCATATGTTAGTTCATGATAGTGCATGTTTTTGCATGATGGGGGACAAAGGTGCATGATGGTGCATGATAATGATGCATGCTGATGAGAGATAACGTACTGCATGTTTGTGCATAAAACAGTATGATTGTTCATGACAATGCATATTATTGCATGATATTGCTTGAAATAGCATGACGACACATTTTTTCGTGTAAATGCTTCCAGATCGTGATGCATAACAATACCTTGATGTGAAAATAATTTAATAACGCCAAGCTAACGGAAAGTAACCAAGATAAATGAATCTTAACCAAGACTAGTAATGTTTATTTGTATTTCATTTAATTTAAAAATGTTCAGGTGAACAGGGAACAAGGATACACGAATAAAATTAATGTTATTTGTTGATGCTGTGATGGTGAACAGCTGATGCTGCTGCACGTGGGGCGGCAGATGTTGGGGGGCGGCGCCCCTACGCAGACCAGCAGCAAGCCGCCCCACGGCTGCTCCACCGTCTGCAGCAACTACCCGGGGCGGGTAGAACGGGGGGCGGGTACGGGTGGAATGGAGTAATTTGAATGTGTGTTTCAGTTGTACCTGTGTACCAGTTGAATCTGTGTTGCAGTTGAATGTGTGGTGCAGTTGAATGTTTGTGTGCAGTTGAACGAGTATAATTGTTGCCTACGTGTTAAAATTAAACAATTACGTGTTGTAGTTGAATGTGTATTGTAGTAGAATGTCAGTATAGTATTAATGACATGTTGAAAATTATTTAGCCGCTGCTGGGCCACACCGAGGACGCGCTCAACGAAGTGATGAATCACATCTACATCGTCAGTGCACACATCACTGAAGACCAAACAACGTCGCCTGGACAGGTGCTAACTCAAACTTTCCAACGTCATAAAACTGTTAAACCTCATTTGTGGGCTCAGGTTTAGTCACATATATCTAGTGTCAGGTGGCAATGCAGGGAGTAACAGTAACAAAAAAGCATATCTAGCGCCAGTAGACTAATACAAAGAGTAACAGTAACAAAAACAGTATATCTAGTGCCAGTAGACTGAAGACAACAAGTAACAGTAACAAAAACAGTATATATCTAGTGCCAGTAGACTAAAGACAACGAGTAACAGTAACAGAAACAGCATATCTAGTGCCAGTAGACTAAAGATAACGAGCAACAATAACAAAAACAGTATATATATTTCCTGTTGAATTTCCAATCATCAGCTATTATCGTAAAGCTTTTCGGGGACCAGCCTCGTAAGCGGTGTCCCGACGCTGCAAGGCTGGCGACAGCTGAAGCCCTCATTATCTAAGACGGTCTTCAGTTAATTATTTTGAAACCCATGGATTCTTCAAACAATTAAATTATTTTAAAAGCAAAATTAATTTTGAGTTGTATCCATAAACTCAATGCTTCTGGATCCGTCAACAACATTTCAAAAACTCAATTAAAGCGCTGTAATTATATTAAATAAATTAAAACCTTCATTTTAGTTTATGAATAACCATTCATATTTAGTTCCAGGATCATGTCACCAAATTTAAATGTCCATTGTAAACCTTACATCTTCGAACTGTTAAATATTAAATGTCTAATGCAAGCGAACGAAAAAAAAACAATAAATTGTTGAGAATTGCGGCTCTTCATCAGTGGCTTTAACCGAAATTGCATTAAATAAGAACTTATACCAAATTATGCCTAAATATGTGTAGTTCCCTTTAAAAATAGCTCATATTATATGGTTTTCTACGATTGCACAGCATGATAGCATCTTCTAAAATATTGTTTCATGGCTCAGAAAACTAGTTCAGTAAACACCAAAAATTGTATCTATTAGTACTCTCTCAAAATAGTTATATATATATATACTATTCTAATAGTTTTATTATTTTTGCTAAGTTGAAAATTTAAAAGCGAAGAACCCCAAAAAAATTGAGTTATAGCCTTTTTTAAATGTTTCTGAAATTTTCCTTGAGACAAGTATCATATCAAGAACAAAATTTTTGATTCTCACCAATGATTTTAAATGGAATTCTAAACTTAAAACTTGAAATAATATGTGTTTAAAAAAATCGCGTTAAGGCTGAAAAGAAGGCGAGGAGCGAACGCTTCACGTCGCTGTGCTACGCGGGCTACTTGCCAGGCTTCTGCATGAGCTGCAACCAACACGGCTTAGTGTTCTCTGTGAACGTGCTCTTCCCCACACACGTGCACGTGGCCAAGACACGTGAGTGTGTTGTGTTGTGTGTGTTGCGTTACATGTGGCCAAGACCCGTGAGTGTGTTGTGTTACACGTGGCCAAGACACGTGAGTGTGTTGTGTTACACGTGGCCAAGACACGTGAGTGTGTTGTGTTACACGTGGCCAAAGCTGCACATGGCCAAGACACGTGAGTGTGTTGTGCTGCACGTGGCCAAGACACGTGAGTGTGTTGTGCTGCACGTGGCCAAGACACGTGAGTGTGTTGCGCTGCACATGTGTGATGTGCTAGACATGTGTGTATGCATATGCTGTGCTGTTTTGTGTTCTGTATGTTTTGTTGCGTGTGTATGTGCTGGGTTGCACTTGATTGGGTTTTGTTGTACACGTAAGCGTTGTGTTGCACAATTGCGCGTTTTAATTTCCAAGTAACATTAGTTGTGCTATAATGTGTGGTAACGTGCCAATTTTTTCGGCCAATTAAGTGATTTGCACCAATATCCATTATGCGTCCTCCGCACAGTGTCTTCCGCACTGGTTTTAATATATGAACGAATTAATTATAATAATATAAACAAATTCAGCAACAAAGTCATTGTAAAGGAATTGCTCGTTATCACTCTAGTAATTATTGAATCCCTGAAAATTATTTTTAATGTACCTTATTAAATAAACATATATAAAACTAATATATTCGGCTAGAAATAATTTTAAGTTTCAATCCTACAGCAATTATCCTAAAACCCTCAGCTCCGTACTTCCTGACGCGGGCGCTGCTGGCCGCCCAGACGCTGCAGGAGGCGGAGGACGTCCTTAAGGACCAGGGCGCTGGTGCGGGCGACGGCTTCAGCGTTAACATGGCCTTTACGCGGCAGGTGGGGAGGCTTCCTACGTGTCGCCTTTCATTTCCATTAATTCATTTTTTAATACCTACGCCTAAGATTTGCGTAATAATATAATATTATTGCCTAAGATTTGCGTAGTAATATAATATTAATGCCTATATAAGATTTGCGTGATAATATTATATTAATGCCAAACATTTGCGTAGTAATATAATATTAATGCCTAATATTTGCGAAGTAATATAATATTAATGCCTGTGATTTGCGTAATAATGTAAGATAAATGCCCAAAATTTGTCTAAGATTTTTATTATGCAAATTATGAAAATAGAGCCATATACGCGTATATATTTCAATATTCGAAAAAACGCCGTAAAAAGTGTCTGACTGGAGTTTTAGTGGCCGGCCGGCTCGTGATATTCAATCATGACGCAGTTTTCTTTTAATATAAAATCTGAAACCAGAACCATACTTACAAAAAAACCGTGACATGGTATAATTTAAAGATGGAGGCCGGCTACAAGAACGCCAGTTAAAAAATCCTGTAGGCCTTTCGTGGCATCGTAGGCCTGTCGTTTCTTCAGCGACACTTTGAAACTGAATCGTGTTTGCATCTTAATTTGTAATAGAATTGTTCATTTCAGAAGCATTTTTCAACAGTGATAGACTTTAGTAGTTGCAAGTTCTTCACATCCTTAATTTTCAACTAATCTTGATTGTTAATGACGAATCATTGGGTACAAATGACATTAGAAAAGATGAATTTATCGATTGATAATAATTTAAATGTTCATGGTTAATGTTGGTTAATAATAATAACAGTTATTTCAGCTACATGTTTTATTTTTGTAATGAATGACGAAGCGTTAGCAGGTATAGGCTTTTGATGAAACACGCATCAATGACGCTGCGTCATGGCAATGGCTGAAATCAGTTACTGAATGAAACTCTAGTCAAAAGTAAAAATAAATGTGAAATAATTTAACATTGTTTATTTTTTCCAAAGAACGTCGGATGCTGAAAAATATCCCCGCACAAACAATCCCCACGTACACTGCACGTCTGAAAAATCCCAACGCACGCATATAAGACCTACGAGAAAATTAGGGTTCCACTTTAACGTGTTAAACTAAGGTGCTTAATAATTTAAGAACACGGGTTCTAACGAGTTCATTTGCTAATAAATTATAATTTTTTTGTTCTGGCAGGAAGGGAACATTTTGTTTCACAACGCAGAAGTCGCCCCGCCGCTGCCTGGGCAAAATGAGAGTCAATTATCCATCCTGACCATCAATACTGGAGAGCATTTCATGCACGCTAATAAGTTAGTGATAAGTAATGTGATCCTTTATAGTTTATACCATTACCAATAAACCTATACTACTGAAACTTTTAAATATCTATAGCGAGTAAACTTAAATTTAATGTCACTCACTGGATTTAACTTTTATTCAGTTATATATGTGAACATGAACATAGGTGAGGAACATATGTTCACATAAATGACAATCAGGTTTCATTGAAGACCAGAGAATTTGTTTTATTCGCAATTTTCTTATTAGTTTTTTCAATATATCGAACAATATTTTTAGTTTGAACTGGCAAATCGAAAATCAGGTTACCGATGGACATTTTTATTTCGTTAACGACGTTTCGAATGTTTCTATCATTCATTATCAAGTTAAAAGGCGCATTGAGTGATGAAATTAGCGTCGACATAAGTACAA